CTTCTGGTCTAATCAGAAACTCTTAGAAGTAATTCTCAAAATAACTTAAGATTTGAAATTTCTTTCAGGATGAAGAACAAGATTTATGACACATACTTTTTTCTCTTTTGATTAAGGCATGAAGAAACACACATTGGCAAATAATAATAATAATAATAATAGCAACTGGAACTCCTTAACCTCACACAGGATGTAAACTAGGTAATCACAACCTCGATATATATAAGTGAATTGTGAGACACAATGTCAAGGCCATAGGGATCACAGAAATTCTCGGGAGTTCAACCATCTCATTTCAGAGTAGAAAGTGAAGCTATGAGGATGAAGTGATCCGCCACAGTCACACAAGAGGACTTATGTGTCTAAGTGTAGAAGTCTAGATACAGAATAGTACACAGGTGGGTGGATGAAATGCCCTGAGACAGTTTGATGAAAAGATGCTTAAAAGAAAATAGAGACTCACAGTGTAAAAGAATGGGAAGAAAACACAGTTCCAATTCGAAAGTGAAAATCTCAACAAATGACTGAACTTGGCTGTTCTTAAACTACCTTCATGTTAGTGTCTGTAAAAGTTTCATCTAAGCAAGTTCAGCAGATGAGCACCTTGAGAAAAGTTATGAAAATAAACCGAGGAAACCAAAATTATGGTTTCCCAGCACCAGGACCTCTAGATCTGCCCTCTAGATCTCTCACCCATAGAAAGATACAAATGCAGCTGATTCTATGCATATCCAATGTCCCCCCAAGGCCCAGGTGTTAGAGGCTTGGACCCCGGGAGGTGATGGAACCTTTCCAAGGTGGGGCCTAGGGGGAGGTCTTTGATGGAACTCAGGGGCACTCCACCACCGAGCCACATCCTCAGCCCTATTTTGTATTTTATTTAGAGACAGGGTCTCACTGAGCTGTTTAGCGCCTCGCTTTTGCTGAGGCTGGAGTAGTTTTGCCCCACCACATGCTCTCCACCATCACCAGTGGGCAGTTCCACTGGAGAAAATAGGATCACGAACTTGAACTCTAAAACCATGAGTCAAAATAAATCTTTTCCTTCATAAATCAATGACCTCAGATTTTCTTTATGGTGATGGAAAGCAGAATAACCTACTCTATGATATTTTAGCCTTCATGCATCTTTAGTATTTTCATCCCAGCTGTTAGGAACTATCTAGTGCATGGTATTATTGGAATGATTTGGAGTAGTGCTATGGTTTAGATAAGTGTCCCATATGTTAAAGGCTTGGTCTCCAGTGTGGTACTCTTAGGAGGTTGTAGGAGTTGGGGCCTAATAGGAGGTCTTCAGGTTATTGGGGGCTTGCCCTTGAAGGGAATTGTGATACCCTTGTTTCTTTGTCTTTCCCTTTTGTTCCTTGGCTCTCGATACAAGGACTCTCACTCTCCCATTAAGATGTGCTGCCTTGCCACATGCCCCAAAGTAAGGGAATCAATTGATCATGGACTGGAACCTCCAAAACTGTGAGCCAAAATAACCTTTTCTCTTTATAAATTAATTATTTCAGGTATTTTGTTACAATAATAGAAAGCTAATTTATACTGGGAGGAATAATGAAATTTTGGTATCATAAGAAAATTTCCTGTCCAATGTGGAGAATTTAATAACATAAAGGAGTTCATGTGAGGCACTAGGTTCGATCCTCAGCACTACATAAAAATAAATAAATAAATAAAATAAAGCTATTGTATCCAACTACAACTAAAAAAAATTTTTTTTAAAAAAGGAGCTCAGGACAAATAATTTTTTATTAAAAATTAGAAGTTTAATATTGAAATGCATATTTGCACATAAGTATCAGAAGGCTGTGCATTCTCTAAATTTAATGGAAAAAATAAATCTAGAAGAGGGCTTAAAGAATGAGTCAGAGTATCAAGTTACTAGGTCATTGCTGAGAGCCATTACCAAGTAGGAATGACACATCGTAATCCTTGCCAGCGTACCCCATGTTAAATGGACTTGCCTTGGAAATTTGCTGCGACCTTGTTTGTGTGTTTGAGAAAGGTGACCCTGCTCAATCACCAGGGTGGATCCAGGATTAGAGTGTATCTTGCAGGAAGTATCCCGGTCCTTGGGTTTAGGGCTTGACAATAGGAGTTTTAGGGAAGTTGGAGGTTGAAGATTATTTTTGCTGGGAGTAGGGCGTGCCTGCTGCCTGAGTTCCCGCTGAGTTCTCCTGGAGAGAAAGTATTTAGGACTTGAATTGTGCGGGAGATGGGGATGGCCCCTGGACCTGTGTGGAGGCGGTATGAGAGCGGGAATAAAGAATTGCTGTTTGAACCTACAAAGGTGTGTGGTGGCTCGTGATTCTGGTGCCAAGCTGAGACCTTGGCAGGTCATGACTAGCATTTTTTTAATGCATTAAAATAACAATACCAGGAAAACTGTGTATATGAAGGAAAGCACTGTTCTATGAAAACTTTGTTTAAATTATTGCATATATGTGTTTCCTGAGTTATAATATAAAATCGATTTTTTAACCAAGGATCACTTTTTTAAAAAGTATTAGTAGCAAGTTTAAAAGAACATTATATAAGTAAAAGAAAAATGATAAATGCTCCTGTGCATCATAGCTTACAGAAGAAACTGAAAAACATTTGGTTGTTAAAGTGAATAAATACAGGAAAAATAAAATGAGAGGTTATATTTTAGCAAGAGTTCTGAGAACAGAGAATGATAGAGTAAAGTTTTTCAGTGGAGAATCCTCAGCATTAAGCACAGCACACTCAATAAACTTGTGAAATAAATAAAAAATTATGAATTAATTAACTATAGGAGACCAGAGATCATTAAGGATAGAATGTAGTAAAAAACATGTATAAAAAGATCATTTTACAACAGTGTCAGAGAAATGAAAAGCTCAGGGCATTTCATATATATTTATATGTTTATGCATGCATATGAAATATGCATTGTGTATGTGCACAAATGCATGTATATATGGATATGTACTTATCTATATATAAATGGATATGTTTGTTTGTATATAGTTACATGCTGAAAATCTGATCAACAATAGACTGCATGTGACAATGGTCTACAAGACAATAATGGAGTTAAAAAAATCCTATTGCCTCTGGGTGGTGGTGGCACATGCCTGTAATTCTAGTGACTTGGGAGGCTGAGATAGGAGCATTGCAATTTCAAAGCCAGCCTCTGCACTTAGTGAGGCCCTAAGCAATTTAGATCCTGTCTCAAAATAAAAAATAAAAATTGCTGGGGATGTAGCTCTGGTTAAGTGCCTGGGTTCAATCTCTGGTACAAAAAAAAAAAAAGAAAAAAAAAATCTGATTGCCATGAGATGTTGTAATAAAATTGCACCACACACTACTCATAGGTTTGTAGTTATGCTAGTGGAAACAACCCTACTTGCACTGCCGGTCTGGTGAAAATACATAAAGCTTGATAATGATGATCATCTACTATGTTACTTGCTTAAGTATTTACTACATTTTTATCATTACAGTATATTCCTTCTACCTGTTAAAAAAAAGTTAACTGTAAAACAGCAGAGGCACAAGATGTGGAGGTGGAAGACAGTGGTATTGGTACGACCTCCTGTAGGCCTAGGCTATTGAGTGTATTTGTGTCTTAGTTTTTCTTTTTTTTTTTAACAAAAAGTTTAAAAAGTTACAGTAAGCCAAGGTTAACACATTGAATGGCGAAAAAAAATATTTTTCTAAAATGTAGCCTAAGTGTAGAATGTTTGTAAAGTCTACACTGTATACAACAATATCCTATTTCACTCACTGACTCACCCAAAGCAAGCTCTGTTCAAGGCATATGCCCTATACAAGTGTTCAATTTTTAAATCTTTTGCACTGCATTATTACTAAGTTTTCTATGTTTAGATACACCAACACCTACCATTGTGTTACAATAACTTACAGTATTCAGTTCTGTAACATGCTAAATGGGTTGTAGCCTAGGAGTTACAGGCTTGCCATATAGCCCAGTGTGTGGGAGGAATGCTAAGTACACTCTATGATGTTCACACAGTGATGAAATTGCCTCAGGAGGCATTTCTTGGAATGTGTCCTAGTAGGCTGTACATATATACACCATACACACTTTAATCCCAATTAAGAAGCTCATTGGCACACACAAATAAGAGTAAAGCTTGGATAATACCCAAATCTGATTCGCCCTCCTCAATCAGCAATGCTACACAGGGCGAGGGAAGGAAGCCCCCGAGGAGAGCGGAAAGTCCTGTAGACTATGAATGAATGAATGAATGAATGAATGAATGAACAAGCAAACGAACGAAAGAGAGGCACGCTGATTGTACAGGCACGCATTTCAAACTGTTCCCCACCAGAAACATTTCAACTTTCTTGCTTCTACTAGATACGTTTGAGGGTCCCAAATACAAACTCCTGTGACTTGTAGATTTGGGACTGTGCGTCCATGGGAAGGAAGGAGAGGCGGCGCGGACCCAGGGACAGCTGAAGGGCTACATTAGCACCTACTCCTTGACACCAACACAAATAATTTCTGTACTTTTCTCCTTCCCTTTCTCCGGGAGCCACTGTGAGAAAGGACTTTTAAAAAATTATGAGAGTAAAGCCAGTCGATTACCCAGAAAATTTGAGCGCCATCAAGATGATGGTGTGAAGCAGCGCGCCTGGGAGTTTTGCTAGGGATGGGGCTGGAGAAAGTCCGCACCGGCAGCACCCACCCTCCCATGCTCCTCACCATCTGCATCGCCTCCTCCATCCACTTTTCGATCTCCTCTGCTGACACCACGCACGAGCCGTCTGGGGCCGGCGAGGAATCCACCTTTGCCTCCATACCGCACCCGCGCGCGACCTCTGGGTGCCAGAGGCCGAGACCCCAGGGGAGCAGGGACTGCGGAACGCAGTGTAAATGGGCCATCGTTTCCGGGGGAGAGGAGAAGGCCAGGGCACGCGGGAGCAATTTCCCGACGGACCTGGGAGCTCCGGACCAGTGAGCGGCGACGGCGGCGCGGCGGCAGCGACAGAAAGCGCAGCTGCTCTGTAGTCCACGCCCCCTTCCCGCTCTGGTGACAGCCTCTGCGGAAAGTCGTGTTTGTGATTTCTGGAGAGCACCGAGAGGGACGACGGCGATCCTGCCGGGTCTTCCGGCCCAGGTGACAAAGAAACGGTTTCCTGGTGAACCTGTCCCGCACCCCAAGAAGCCCGCACCCCCAGCGCCTGAAGATGCTGAGATCTATGTGGAATTTTTTGAAACGTCACAAAAAGAAATGCATTTTCCTGGGCACAGTTCTTGGAGGTGGGTGACAGCGTGCTTGGAAAGGGGCACTGGGAGAAAGAGGTGGAAGAGAGGTGGCTTTCTTCCCAAACAGGGAGAGGCCAGGATATGTGGAGGCTACGGATGTGGAGCGGCGTGGCAAACCTCCAGGGTTCTTTCCATCTCTCCAGTTTCTACATCCTTTGCCCTGTCACTGCCCCTCACTCTGCTTCTCTCTCCACCCCCTACCCCTCCCCCACGGAACTTGGAGAATGTACCACAATTAAGTTTTTTTTTTTTCCCCCAGGCATTCTTTCTAATTCTCTTTGTTGCTTTCTTGTGATAGCCTTCATTTCTTTTTGGCACTCTCAGTACTTTGGCTTTCACCCTTTATTGGAGTTTCATAACATTCTAAGGGAGTTATCTGAAGTCTGTACTTTGGGTGGTGTTCAAAGATAACTTGACTTTTAAAAAAATAGCACGTTGTACTGAAGGAAGATATGTACTAGATAAAGAAAAGCAAATCAATATTTCAGCTCTGGTTCTGCCATTTTAGATAAAATTATGCGGCAACAAAATGCTTAGGATTAGGATGTTGTGCAATCTTCTCAGGATTGTGAAGGTTGGGATCAGTGCACATCTAGGTAACACAACTGAAATCACTGGCTGAAAAGAGATTTAGAAACAGATTTTACTTAAAAATCTTGAGACCCTTTTTTCATCATATGACATTCATGTCATAGCATTCAGGAATTTGAAGGAGACAATAAAAATTATTATTTTGAATTATACAAAAAGGAAATTTAGGAACTTTAAGAGAATGTTTTTGAACTTGAGGGTTTGAGAATTTTTTTATCACCAACTACATGTTTAGGTTACATAAGTACTTAAACATCAAGGACAGACGTTTCCCAAAGAACTTGGTTGCTATTGTCTTACTTTTTGATTGTATTCTATTATGCCCAAACAATTTGAAATTAATAATACCATTATATCAGTAATTCAGATATGATGATTCTTTGTGGTTTGAGATAGGGTTTTTTGATCAGGCAAGGATTATGTTTTCCATGTCTCAGGTCTAGCACAAATTGATAATAAGCATATACAAACTTTGATCACCGTTAAGACATCCTTTATAAATAAAAAGTATCTTCTGATATCTTCAGCCTCTTCTGATACTTTAAACATCTTAAAGTATGTTTAAGCTACACTGAGACTACAGAGACCATTCTATTTATAAAAGCTAAAGATATATTTGTAATGGAATATATGTCAGTACAATATATGCTGCTTCTGAAGGAAGGCAAATTTTCCCTTTAGCAGTTTCAGAAGGAATAGCATACCCCTTCAGGCTTATAGAACAACCTAATGGTAGATCAGAAATAATCACAGGGGAAACAAAGACTGTTCTTAAAAGATAGTTATAGAAGCCAGGAATGGTGGTGCATGTCTGTAATCCCAGCAGCTTGGCATGCTGGGGCAGAAGAATCACAATCTCAAAGCCAACCTCAGTAATTTAGTGAGGCCCTAAGCACTTAGTGAGACCCAGTCTCAAAATAAAAAAATAAATAAATAAAAAGAGGGATGGGAGGCTATAAAGTGTTTAAGCACCCCTGAGTTCAATCCTGGGATAACAAAAAAAGATAGTTATAGGGTTTCTAAAATCTATGGAGAGCTTTATAATTACAGATTAAAATATCAGACTAAGAGGAGTTGTTTTAACAGGTTCAGAATAATAGAACTGATGTTCTGTTTCTACTGTCGTACAGCAAAGAAAGTCAGTCTGAAAAAAAGAAAAGAGATGACCACAGCTCGAATTTGTTTGTTTGAGCCTCATATTTTTTTCTGTTTCAAGGGAAAGTCTAATAGCATGTTAAATTTCAATTAATTTAAGAAATATTTATCAAGTGCTTGCAGTGCCAAAGGTAATATGATTGGAGATACAGATTTACAGATTTAAATAGTAATAGCTAGTATTTACTGGGTACCAATTGTATATTGAACACTATACTATGTTCTTTCTATTCAGTAGGGATGACAATAGGGTAGTTATTGTCATCCCATTCAGAAATGTAGGAACCAGAGCTCAGAGAATTTAAAAAGCTTGCCTAGGGTCTCAGAGTTAGTAACAGGGAACCTGGTTAGTATGTTAGATCCCAATGCTCATTCTCTTTCCACACAGTACCACTCAGTCTTCATGGACTTTATGGTCTAATAGGAAGGAAAACCATGCATAAAAATACTAAAATTACAAATCCATAAAGGGTGAGAAAACACTGTACAAATCAACCTAGCAGACAGCATATGTAGTTGTAAAAATCAGGAAGGACTTCATGAAAGAAGTGACACATTATTTTTTTTTATTTTTTTAGTTTTAGATGGACACAATGCCTTTATTTATTTATTTATTTTTATGTGGTGCTGAGAATTGAACCCAGTGCCTCACACGTATAAGGCAAGCATTCTTGTCACTGATCGACAGTCCCAGCCCCCAAGTGGCACATTTTGACAAGCTTGAAAGCTGGGTAAGGTATCTACATGTACTCTCAAAGAAGTCTGACCATTTACTAGTGGAAAAAAACTCAAATCAAATTTTGAGTTGCAAGGCTGCTTATGTGGGAATTTCTATTTCCCTGAATTTTGGATGGGTAATTACTTCAGACTAATTTATACAATTTGACCAGTGTGAAAAGACTATAAAGTAGTAGTTCTCAAACTTTTTGGTCTGAAGTCTCCTTTACATAATTCTTAAAAATTAAGGAGCCTAAAAAGCTTTCTAAATGTTATACCTACTATTTGTAATATTTGAAATTAAAACCAAGAAATTTTAAAATTTTTTATTAATTCATTTAAAATATTAAACCATTGCATGTTAACATTAACAACACTTACTGGAAAAAAATGGCATTGTTTAAATTTTGCAAGTCTCTAAAATGAGTGGCTTAACTGAAGAGAACTGGATTCTCATATCTTATTCTGCATTCAATCAGTTGTGATACCGTACATCATGTAGCTCTTAGGATCTTCCTCTGTACACTCATGAGAGATTGATAATGTAAATTGCAAATAACATTTTAATACTATTGCAAAAATAGTTATGACCTTACAGATTCGCTGAAAGAGCCTCAAAGCGCCCAGGGGTGCCCAAGCCATGAAGAATCAATGCACTAGAGAAGGTATTGCAGAACAGAAAGCAACCAGATACGTATATATTGGCTTGCTGATTTTTAGAAAATCACAGAACATTGACTAATGGTTTATGTCTTAAACTTTGTCATTTCTGAACTCTTCAGATTTTTATTCATTCATTCATTCAACAAGCATTTTAATAACAATAAATGCCTACTTTCATTACTGGGTTCATTATTCATTATTTTTTACTGGACTCTAGGAAAACAAAGAAATAATACACAATTCTTGACTTTGAGGAAATCATGATACAATCTGGAAAGCATAAATAGAAATAAAAGTAGCACAATGATAATATTATGGTACTATGGAAGCAGAGGAGAGAGAAGCATGAATTTGTCTGGCAAACTTCACAGAAGTTCCACTTAAGTTCTAAAGCTAGCAAAAGAGTCAAAGGCACAGAAGATAAAGGAGGTATACAAGAGATTCAGAAACTCTGATTTTTACAAGTCAAAGTATATTTCACTATAGCTAAGCAGTGAGGAGTGGTAAAGGTTGATTTGGAGAAGTCACTAGGTCATAAATAAAACTAGATTAAAGGCCTTCCTTATTACCCTCTTCTAAATAATATGGATAATATCCTGTGTATGGGTGCTTCTAAGATTTTATTATGGAAAAAAATTACTTAAGGGAATAATAAAAATAAAGACTCCATTCTACAAATTTTGATCCTTTAGGTCTGAAGTACAGTTCAAGAATTCCTTAATTCATTCAGCAAATATTTATAGAGTTCCCAGTGTGCACCAGTAAGAGTTTAACAAAAGAAAAAAAACTAAGAAGCTATTTATGACTCAGTTCAAGAGCACTAATTCATGTTCTAAACATGTAATGGTAAAGAAAAGAAAATTATTTCTAAGAAGGATTTGGGGATCTGTTAGATTGAGAACAATATTAATATATTACTTTTCAAACTGTTATTGAAATGTTTAACCTGGCAAAATAGTTGCATTTTAGGAATTTTTATCCTGAAAGAGAAGACTAAAAGATGATTTTAAAACAACTTAAAGATATTTTGCTTTACCAGAAATGTTCTGAAAGGTAAACTTACATTTTACATTTATTTTTTGAGGTGTTTAATCAATGTTTCCATTATTCATAAATCAAGTTATAGCTACAGAAGAAACATTAAAGCTCATATAATCCCAATCTGTCATTTTATGAAGAAGTTTAGATTCAGAGAGAAAAAGGGACTGCTTTAAAGTCACATAACTAGTTGGCACCAGAACCATCAAGATGTCCTATCTTCTAGGCCCAAATTCAAGCTGCTATTCAAGTATATACAGAGCCAGAGCTGCATGTTTTACGTAATGAGTTTTCTTTCCTCATTCTTATTTTACAAGGGAGACAAATATGGCAAAATTTATGAATATGGTTATGAGAGCCAGGGTAAACTAGACCTTGTATAGGAACTTTAGTGCTAACTAAACAAAAATAATGAGTTTAGAATTTTAGCCTATTTTTCCATGTATTAGTTTATGAGTGCTGTCAAGGCAAAATACCACAAACTAAGCAGCTTAAGTGACAAAAAATATTCTTTTAACAGTTTTGAAGATTAGGAGTCCAAGATAAAGGTGTTGGCAGAGTTTGTTCCTTCTAGGTGCTATAAAGGATCTGTACCAGGCCTCTCTCCTAGCTTGTAGGTTGCCATATTTTCTTTTTTTTTTTTTGCTTTTTAAAACTTTATTTCAACATAACTATGCTTACAGAAATACACTCACATTGGTTAATAGAATGCAATTTAAGTTTAACTTATCCTACACAATTTCAACCAAAAACTTGGTACATGGTTTAAGATTTTAAAAAGAATTTGCAGTCTGGCCTATTTTTATCTATTACAAATGTATATAAAAGATCCGCCATCAAATGCTGCTAAAGAAAGCAGCAAGTACCTTGAGAAATATACCTTTGGTTTGCCTCAGAAAAATAACACGTATTGCACTGTAAAAGTTTATAAAATTGGTGCAACAAAACATTGTTGTTATGTTACAATGCCAGTTCAGAAAGTTCAGTAACTAATGGATGCAGAAGGGGATGGGAGGGTGCCTATGTACACATGTGGTACTGTAAAAGCTATCTGATTTAATTAATATAGTATGTAGATTATGAATCTACACAAACCAAGATTCAGATATTTTCTTAAATCTGAATTAATACTATCAGCTCACTTCATCTGCTGAGGTCAACAATTGAACTTGACATACTGGCTTTAAGTTTTTTTGATATATGCAAAGTAAATTTCCTCCCCCAGCTTTTCAGTCCAGAAGTGACAGTATACTACAGGCAAGGTATTCCTTCCATCTTCAACATTCATGGAGTGACATGTGATGAGGTTAACTGGGGTTTTAATTTGTATCAGCATGGTTGCCATCTTTTCTGAGTTTCACATTGTCTTCCCTATCCACATGTCCAAATCTGTGTCCAAATTTTTTCTTCTTAAAAGGATACCAGTTATGTTGGTTTACAACCTACCTAAAACCTCATTTTATAATTGAGATATAAAGATATATCTCAATTAATTGAGATATAAAGATATATCTCAATTCTTTACAGAGATAATTGATTATAAAGACCAGATCTCCAAACAAGGTCATATTCTAAGATACTAGACTCTCAATTTGTTGGGGGAAGAGAATTAACACAATTTAGCCCATAACAATTTATTTTCTTTTTTTTAGCTGTAGCTAGACATTTATAAAATATAGTGATTCCTAATTTTTTATCAGATTTCTTGAGAATCTGATGAAAGATGTGTAGCTTCTCCCCAGGAAAACATGCATAACAATTAAATTACCATTATTCCAGAAAAATTCCTACCTCAGTGTTTCATTTTACAATATAACTTGAACCATTTTGCACATTACTTTTAGTAGTCTGTTATGAGAATAAGATAACAAGCATTTCATGCGGAACTAGTTGTATCAGAGTTGCTTGTCAAGGTATTACTTTGTGAAATATAAGTAAGTTTGTTCATTCTGTTGGTATTGTGACACTATCAGTTTATTTAGGATTGCTTACAAGAAAGGTAGCCATGAAGCTCCTTAGGTGAACTTGTATTTGTTCCTTAAGCATGACTGCAATACATTTATATGTATATACAAATGTAGCAACAACAATCATACTATATTTCTAATTATCATAGCACATAGTCTTACTGAACTATTTTAAAGAATATATTACATCTTATCAGCTCATCTATAACATCTGTATTAGTTATAGAATACAGATTTACTTTGCAGTTCCTACAGGGCTGTCTCCTCCTCACTTGTGACAAACATACAAACCCAATTATTTAGGTCATGCACAGTTCTTACATTCATTTTAGTAGATATTGTAGGCCACAGACAATTGGAGGTAAATGAGGATTAGTTACTCTCATACAGCCTCTCTGTTTGGTTACAATGAAGCCAAGTTCTGACACATATAAAAAAAAAAGTATTAGCAAACAAAGATGAAAAAGCAACACAACCTATTCTATAAGCTCATTGAATTCTATACTTCTTTAGTGCTATGACAAAACATGTACAAAAGATTTACTTGAAACAAATACAACAAATTCTAGCTACAGAAGCCAGCTGGTCATCTAGTTAACTCATTTGACACATGTTCACTAAGAAGAATCCTCTGAATGCTCATGATCCCAGGCTAAGTCATTCCTAAGGTGGTAGGACTTGCTAGATTCGTGTATTCACATTCATATGAATATTACTAAAATGCTTTAGATGGTCCAGTATCTTGAACACCACTAATTTAATCTATTAAAATCCAATTCTGATAATCAGTGTACTAATTAACATATTATCTGTTTCTGATCATAGATAAAAGTTAACTGAAGCACTTAAGCTTTAGAATGTGTCTTTTGATCATATACTAACTAAACACTGGTGTGTTCACATTCTCTACTGGGACAACTAACCACCTTGGGTATAGATCAGCGTATACACATTTATATTATACTGTCTATGCTGAAATGTATTTAATTGCAGAACACATGATACCACCTATGTTTTTATACTGTAAAAATTTTCCCTTTTATGTTTAAGTTACTAGGTTTTAGATGGTTCAAGCTTCATTCTCTCCTTTTCAGAAATTTTTCAAACACATGGATGCATGTATTATTTTTTAGTATGCCTGACTACCTACCTTTCTTTTACTCTTCCTTTTTAAAAATTTATCTTAAAAATTTTTATAAATATTATATGTTCTTTGAAGAAAATATGGAAAATGGAAAGCAAATGGAGGGGAAAAATCACTTGTTATCCCATCAGTCAGCAATGATCACTTTATTATAGGCTAGAAATTAAAACTCATCTTTTTCTGTGAGAGATGAAAAAAATAAAAGTTCTAAGATCTTATTTTATCATCTAACATCATAAAACATGGATATTTCCTTGAGTCATTAACTATTCAGCAATGTGGTTTTTAATAGCTACATGAAATTCTATTGTGTGGATAGGCCATGATTTATTTAAATAATACCCTATTACTGGACATTTACAGTGTCTCCAGTTAACTATTAAAGTCATTGCCAGACTTTCTAGATTTAATTCCTTTCTTTTTCTTATGTGCCCATCATTTCCTCTGTCATTGGCCCTTAAACATTAATCTCTTTCTCCTTATCTTTAGTTTAGTTGTATACCAGTTTTTAATATAGGGTTTTCTAGAGCTTATAAGTTTTAGGTTTTCCATAATATAAACCTTATAATTGGATAAAGCAAGTTAAAAATAGTGTTTGGGATTTTTAATACTCTAATTGCATACTAACTTATTTTTAGGAGTATATATCCTGGGGAAATATGGACAGAAGAAAATAAGAGAAATACAAGAAAGGGAGGCGGCAGAATACATTGCCCAAGCACGACGACAGTATCATTTTGAAAGTAACCAGAGGACTTGCAATATGACAGGTAAGGCAAAGATAAATATTTATATGTGTATGAATTTGCTTGTTGATTTGTAGTATAGTATTTTGCATATTTCCAAAGCCAAATTTAGAGGAAAAGACCAAGAATGATAAATCTAGCAAGTATTTGCATTAACTGAAATATATCATTTCCATATGAATTTTTAAAAGTCAACGTGAATACTTGTTCATTCATTTTATATATTCATCCAGTAAATACTTGCAGTATCCAGCATTGGGGAAGCAGAGAGTGAACAATATTTTTAAGATTCCTGACCTTTGGGGTTTATATTCTAGTGAGAAGAAAAGATGATAAACAACAGATAAATGACTTTCAGCAGTGATGACTGCTATAAGGAGAATAAAGCTGTGTGAGGAGTGACGATGTCCCTTAAGAGAGGATGATCATCAGTCAGGTCTCTTTGAGGAGGTGACATCTGAGGAGAAACCACTCAGTACAATGGAGCAAGCCATACAAAGTGCCCGGGGTGAGAACAAGTTTGGGACAATCAAGAAATAGCAAAACCATGTAGCTAGAAAATAATTAACAATGGATAAGTGATAGGAAACAAGGCCACAAAGGTTGGCCTTATCTATAGGGCCTTATAGGTCATAGTAAAGAGTCCTAAGTTTGTTAAATTTAGAGCAGGCAATTATAGACCTGTAATTCTTTCATAGTAGTATACATTCACTCAGCATTAAGTAATGGTAATAATTTAACCCCTGGAGCTAGAAACTGATTGAATGTCATAATAAAACCAATTGTCAATATTTGAAGAGTTCTCAAATCTGTGTCAAACTTGTTCATCTTTTTCATTGTTTAAAGCTTAATATTTTTTCTAAAAAGATGTTTCTTTCAAGAACAATTAATTTAGAAAGACTTTATAAAGCTAAGTGCTCCTTTTTAAATTATAAAAGTAGAACATTTTTTCCAGAGCTAAAAGGACTTTATTGTTAGGTCACTAGTCTTGTTTTATAGATCAAGAGGCTAAGATCAAGAAGTGAGAGATAGTCTGAAAGTTACTGCTTAAGTATACGTTTTAATATTTGAAGTAGTAATAAACAGGAAAATACTTCTATTCAATAGGGCAGAGAGTGACCAGAAATATTGTATACAATGATTACTCTGATATGGCATAGTGAGTAAGAGCATAGGCGCTAGGGTGAGGCAGATCTGGTCTAATTTCCAGTTTGACTTGTTTTATTTATGTGCCTTTGGGCCAACCTAAATCTCATTTCTCTTCTCTACAGAGTACACATCATAAAAGCCACTTCAGAAATGTTTTGTAAGAGTGTGATGAAATAATGCTTCTAAAGTACTTGGCACATAATAAATACTCAGTAAATTAAAACTTTAAAAACATAATTCTTTAAATTTCAGCATTAAATGTAGTGGTGCTACCAAGAACATTTTGATGAATTTTTAGAGTATAGGAATGATTCATTTCAGACGATTACTCAGATTTTCAGAAAATACAAAAAGGCAGCTTGTAGGGTCTCAAGATATATCTCAGTTTGACATAGATCCTTATGTCAGTTTATTTGCTCCAGGATGCAGATGGGTTAGATATGTGAGAAATTTCCTGGAAGGGAGGAACAGGTGAGAAGGCAAGGAAAACCTTTATATCACAATTCTGGTCTGACATTTATGAAAGGAAAAGAGAAGGAAGAAAAATTAGGTTAGGAGAGCCTGAGACTATAGCAAATTCTAGGAGAGCCTGGCCAGGCCAGTGGAGTTCCCTAGTAGAGGAGTCCCCACCTGAGCACTCTCATTGGCAAGGATCAGTACAATCACAGCAATGGCTCTAGAGGGTGGCAGATAGTGTTGTTAATTGACTATGCTGCTCCCAACAGAAGATGGAGGTGACACATGTCCATGACCATCACACCCTCAGATGAAGAAATAGCTGACTATGGATAATTTTTAAAATAACATATGGTGATTACTAATAGACAAAATATAGGTTTACTTAAAAAGTTGGCAGACTAGCTTTCTTATATGTACTGATATTAGTATGTTCAAATTTCTATTCTTTTACTTAGAAATCTTTAGTGAATATACTAGAAAATTTTTAATACTTTTGGATAAACATAACTATTTTTTGTTTTGTTTTTTGGCCCAAGAAGTTAATCCCATCTTGAAAGATAATATCTAATGGATTGCTTCTGTGCTTTCCATTTTCACTTTCCTTCTTCATGATTTTACTGAAGATCTAGGAGGGAAGCTTATTGAATTTCTTCATGTATGCATAGCTGACACCACAAATGAGATTTCAGTATACAAAATAGGATGCTCAAGTCCTATATTAAATGGCATAGTACTTGCAATAACCTACACAAATCCTCCTCTATACTTAAAATCATTTCTATATTACTTATAATACCTAATACAATGTAAAGTTGTTATACTCTATTGTTTAGGGAATAAAGGGAGTAATGATAAGAAAAAAATCTGTACTTATTCAATATAGACAAAATTTTTGTTTCGTGATTCTGGGAATCAAACCCAGGCAGGGCTTTGTGCATGCCAAGCTAGTGTTTTACCAGCGAGCTATACTCCAAGCCCCAGACCCAGTTTTTTCAGATATTTTTGATCTGAAGTTGGTTGAATCTGCAGGTGCAGAACCCACTGATATAGAGACCCAACTGTATTGTGTTTGGACTGGACATCTATACCAAATACACTAAGAAACAATCTAGCTTTTGTATTGGTTCTAAACTGCTACTTTGATAATGGTCTAAATAACTTAGGAGATTTCAAGTGCAGCTTGAAGAAATATGCTGAAACTAAGAGTGCAGTATTGAAATAAATGTTGCATAGATTAAAACCTGAATTTTCTATAGAAAAAAACTTGGATTTTATATTGACAATTTTACCTAGTTGAGAAATAAAAATCATATACTAAAATTTTCCCTTCTAGAATGTGGTACTTATGATCTCTTGGATTTTTTTTTTCATTTTTTTTCTTGATTTATTTAGTGTTAGAAATTCATTTAAATTTAAATGTGTTTGTGGCTCTAGCATTTCTTAAACAATGTTTAAGAAATAACTTTCAAGATATGAAGTAATTGAAAGGTTTTTTCCTTGGAATACTGAATTATTTTGTCTTCATGTTATTCTTGGGAGTGGTAGACATAGAGTAGCCACTGACAAAACCAAAACTAAAAGTCAGCAGTACTTAATTCCTATTTGCCGTGCTATAGTACTTAATGTTTTAATGTATTTGATAAACCTTTTTATAACATTATATATAAAATATGTAGAAAAAGTATATCTAATATAAAAATGTCTTAATCATTTTCATTATATCATAAATAAGCATTTATTGTAAAAAAATTTGGAGAGTACAGAAAACAAGGAAAAAACAGAATTATTCATAATCCATAGCCCGTAGACCACCATTGTTACCACCTGAGGGTAATTCTTTTCATTCATTCTTCTGCTTGTACTTGTTTACATTGCTGTGATCATATCATGGCATATGAATAATTTTGTTGTAATAACATCATAAAATGCATGATTTATTAGCACAAATTAGTTTTATATCACTAATAATATTAATTGGAATTCTCTAGACTTGACTTCCTTCCTCTTACTAGCTGCTTTTCATATAGCCTGAAATAACATATATTTCTCAGTGATTACAGTCATATCAATTGTGATCTTCTTTTTCTGTTTGGATTATAGTGCTGTCCATGCTTCCAACACTGAGAGAGGCCTTAATGCAGCAACTCAATTCCGAGAGCCTTACAGCTCTACTAAAAAACAGGTAAATGCCAGTTCTAGCATGTTTTGTTCATGGACTACAATTGATAGAATGAACGAAAATACTTTCCCAAAGTCTTTGTTTTTTTACTTTTCTTTCTAACGAAGACTTATATAGACTCAGAAAAAAAAAATCAAGTAACTATATCACTGAATCCATATTTTATTTTGTTCATTCATTTCTGCTAAATCTGATTAAAGTATAGTACCACTGGTATTATGCAAATAATTAAGAGCACCAACATGTTATGCATTATTTTATATAAATAGATTTTATATAATGTTGACATTTTTCAGAAATTTAATTATTGAGTTTTTATGGAACATATTCCTGAACCAGATGTTGTGAAGCAGACAAAACTTACATTAAACATTGTGTTTCTTATATTGTTTACAGTGTAATAAGTGAGGCATGTTATCATACATTTTAACAACTAAAGCACCTGAATTTACATTATAAATTATTAACAAAATGAAGTACAAACATAACACTTGCATATGATAATCCATTTTACAAAGCACTTTCATATGTATGACTTTACATATGACATATAGTATACCCATGGGTATTGTAAGTTAGTATAATTTTTTAATACATTTTTTTGTAGTGGTAGATGAACTGAATGCCTTTATTTTATTTGTTTATTTTTATGTGGTGCTAAGGACTGAACCCAATGCCTCACAAACACTAGGAAAGTGCTCTGCCTCTGAGCCCCAGCCCCAGCTCTCAGTTAGTATAATTTTAGGTTAGTTTGAGAAGACTTCCAGAAGGAAATGGCTCCTTCTTTTAATGAGGAAGATTAGATATGGGGATGATTTCACTAAGTAAATGTTATGTGCTTATGTATGTGTGTTTGCGTAATGCTGTGGAACAAACCCAGAGCCCTACACATGGCTAAGTATCTACTCTGTCACTGACCTATATCTCCAACACTAAATAAATTTTAATCACTGTGGCTTTACTGAAATATTTATTTGCCTTGTACTCACCCTTCAAATAGTTGGAGGGAAAAAAGTACTATTTCTAGAGTCTCTCTGTGCCAGCTCCAGTGCTAGATACCTTCCATGCATACATGCTCCTATTTAATTTTCAAAGTATTCCTGTGAGATAGACATTATCATCTCCATTTTGCACATAAGAATTTAGTGCTCAGATAGGTGAAATAAGAAGTTGGAAAAATTCTTTGAAATATTTTTATATGCAGAGAATACCTCCTAAAATAGCAATGGATTTTTGTACTTTGATATTTTTTTTAACTCTGATTAAAGTATACTACTACTGGCAAGAGATTTTTCCTCCATAAATTTCATCATTCCTAGAGGTAGACTGACTTTAACCCCTGCTTATAGATGTAAGGTTTGGTTTACAAATTATTTGTATAATTATATACAAAATGCATATGAGTTGATTGCCATTAGCCAAATAAATACCTAATTACCACCTATACATTAGTATAGGAGAGAAAAGAAATAGAGTTCAGTTGCCTTAAGTTTGAGTCATACTGAGGCAAAATAGATGAAGTAAATGAATAATGCTAACCTAATAACAAGCTTTTAATAAAGTAATAAACACAGTGGCATTCTTTCTTCTTGGTTAATCTGTATCCTGAAAGGCCCTAGGTCCCATATGTTTTGGGGGATTCAAGATCATTAAGATAGTATGTGGTGACCGTGCTTAAGGCCCTAGATTCAATCCCTAGCGCACACACACACATAAAGATAATTAAGACACTCTTATGGTTTAGATATGACATATCCTCCAAAAGTTCATGTGGAGGACAGTGCAAAAATTTTCAGAGGTTAAATGATTAGATTATGAGAGGTGTGACCTAATTGGTGGATTAATTCATCGATACAGATAAGTGGTTGGTAACTGTAGGCAAGGTGTAATTAAAGGAAGTAGGTTATTGGGGGTAAGCCTTTATGGATTATATTTTGTCCTTCGTGAGTGGAACTCACTCTTTGCTTCCTGGTTGCTACTTCCTGAACTACTTAGCTCTGTCAGCCTTCTGCTCTGATGTTCTGCCTTACCTCAGGCTCAACTATGGACTGAAACCTCTGAAACTACATGCCAAAATATACTTCTCCTCCTCTAAGTTGTTATTTTCATGTCTTTTGGCCACAGTGATGCAAAAATTGACTAAAATAGAAGTTAGAACTGAGAAATGGGGTCTTCACTGTGACTACTTTACCATGTGGTTCAGAAGTCTTAGGATGGTTTGCAGCAGGAGGAATTTTGAAAAGTTTAGAGATGCAAACTGGAAAATCTTAAGAATGTGATAAGTGGAGTTTAGTGGTACATTCTGGTAGAGGCTCATAAGACCAGCATGCTGGTCTTGCTTATATGACTAGCACTGCAGTCAGAAAAGATGGGTTTATGAGATTTCAGAAGAAAGGAGAAGACTATTGGAAACTGGACTAGATGCCATTAGTTGTCTGCTCTGGCAAAGCAGTTGTCTACATTTTGCCCTTGTCCTGAGCCTTCCTGTGACTCTGAATTTAAAGATGATGAACTAATTAATCTAGTAGAGGAAAATTCAAGGCAACAGAGCATTTAAGAAGTAGCATTTTTGGCACTTCTATCCAAGTTTACTATGATAATTATGAGGAGAAAGTAAATCAGAAAGATTTTTTAAAACTTGCAATTTGTCTAGAAAATTGTGTGTAAAACTGAAACTAAGGGAGGCATGATTATTAAAGACATTACAGCCACTACACAGAGGCTAAGTACTTTCCACAGATTCAATAGGAAAGATGGCTTCAGGACATGTCAAGAATTGGCAAGACCATACCCATCTCAGGCTCAATGGCGTAAAAGTAAAGAATTCTTTTGAGAAGAGATCATGGGTGCACTGCTTGCACAGAGGAGCCCAGGAAGTTTTGTTTTGTTTTGTTTTGTTTTGCTTACCATTCCTAGCTACCCAGGCACTCAGAGGCTGCTACAGCCATGGTCCAGGAAGGTTGGCTACTGCTCAAGATGGTTGCAGACCTTGGTCTCAACCATGTGGTGCTGGCTCTGCAGAAATGCAGGATGCTGGCATTATCGGGTCATAGAGGCTTCCACCATCCAAAGCCAAAGGAAGGAGTAAACAAAATTGTCATAATACAAGAGTTATTAGTGTCATGGTAGAAAATGTGAGGAGAAAATATGGGCATATAGAGAAGAAAAGGATTTAAAGCTGGACAGCTTTAAAGAAAAGAATATGACAAAGGTTTAATATCTAGAATACATAACTTAAGAAACTAACATAAAAAAACTCAATTAAAAAATGGGGAAATTAACTAAATAGACACTTCACAAAAGAAGAAATACAAATGACCAAGAAATGTGTGAAAAAATGTTAAACATCATTAGCAATTAGGGAAATATAGATCAAACTATGCTGAGATTTCTCACTCCAGTCAGAATGGCAATTATCAAGATCATGAACAATAATAAATGCTGGAGAGAATGTGGAGAAAAAAGGAACACTTTTATACTGTTGGCATAATTTAAATTAGTAAATTACTGGATTTTAAATTAGTACAACCACTATGGAAATCGTTATGGAGATTCCTCAAAAGACTAGTCATAGAATCACAATATGACCCAGCTATACCACTCCTCAGTATTTATCCTAAAGAATTAAGGTTATCATACTTTAGTGATATATGAATACCCATGTTTAAAAAGCACAATTCAAATTCACAATTGCCAAACCATAGAACCAGCCTAGGTGATTGATTGCAACAGATGAATGGATAATGAAAATGTGGTATATATGCACAATGGAGTTTTATTCAGCCATAAAGAAAAATGAAATCAAATTTCACAATTGGCAGGAAAATGGATGGAACTTGAGACCATTACAATAGACAAAATAAGCCAAACTCAGAATGTCAAGGGTCATATGTAGAAGCTAGAGAGACAAAAGGAAAAGAAAGATTGGTGAGGGAGGTCTCATAAAAATCAAAGGAAATCATTAAAGTGTAAGGAAGGGAGGAGGGGAGGGAAAAGGGAAATGCTGTCGAATGATATTGGCCAAACTATATAGTTATATTGTGTGCATATACATATATATAACAACAGATCAGACCATTTTGTAGAACTATAATGCACCAATAAACAATGTGGGGGAAAAAAAGATGTGATTCCCCTTTTCTTACTCAATTCATAGGAGAATTTCTTTAAATTCCAGATTTTGAGATGAGTCACTGTTCTTCTCCCTTATCATTCCTTCTTTAAATATCTAAATGTTATTGTTTTTCTTTCTTTACTTTTGACTTTAAATTTCTATTTTGCAATTTAGGGGTAAAAGGTCCATTTGAAAAACATTTGCCTAAAAAGAGGCTTGAGCCATTACAAAGTATGATTACACGAGGCCCCATCTTATGATTGCTTTTATATTAGTATTCAGTCAACTCTGATCTCATATAAACTTATAAAGCAAGTTAATTTTCTCTTTAAACTAATTTGATAATGACTAATCAGAAATACATAAATGACCTTATAGCCTTATTTTGTCAGTTTCATAATAGCAAATATACATGTATCACTTTTTAATATTTAGCATTCTTATTGAAGATTGAAGCCAAAGAATCTTAGAAACTCATCACAAGAAAGAGACTACTTTGTACGGATTAGTTTAATTTTTAAGCATATATTTTAGCGACACTAATGAACCTGGATGTATTTAACTTGGAGTAGATTTCCATCAGATGAAGCATTTGAAAGGAATCTTTGTGAAGAAAATATTTTTCCCTGTCCTTCTACATATATTTGGAACAGAATATATATATATATGTGTATACATATATATATACACACACACACACATACATACATACACACACACACACACACACACACATAACATATACATATTTAACTGCTGAGGATCAAACCCAAAGCCTCAAATATTCTAGGCAAGCATTATCACTCTATATCCAGTATTTTTATATCTACTTTTAAAGCCTAATTTTGATGACTATCAACACAAAGGAATGTCCTAGGTGACTGTTACTCTGTCCTCTCCATCCAAAATCACCCCCAATAACATAGTTTCAGCAAATACAATTTCAATTCAAATAACCTAATTTTTCCTTCCATAAGCTGCTGCTGCTAAGCACTTCCTACATTTAAGGATCATTATTTTCTTATTTCACATTTGGAAGTTTTTCTGAGGTGATAAAAGATATGATTTCCTTATATTAAACTATCTCACCCTCAAATTGTGGCCCAGTCATCAATTTAATTGGAATAGTTTGCCTAGCATGAATGAAGCCCTGGGCTTGAATCCTAGCAGTGAAAAAAGGAGAATCTTATCACTGAAAAAAAGGAGAAGGAAGGGAGGGGAGGAGGAAGAAGGGGAAAAATGGCATTCCACTAGGAGTCTTAAATGTTAAATTATATTAAGACTATGGTGGTATTTTGTAGGATTTACTCCAGATCTCTACTAAACCTGTGTCATCTAGGTAAGAGATGACTAAAGCTTTAGAATCTGTTCATTGGTAAAGAAAGATGAGAGCTAATAATATCCCACAATTGTAATGTTAATTCAATTTTTATTGAAATACAAATTTGTGTCTAAATATAATAATAAGGATTTTCAAGCTTGTATTTTTTATATATTTATGGTTAAACTAATTTTCTGGTAATCTATTGTATTTTACACAAATATTGGTCTCTGACAAATTGGATATAACAAAGGAAAAAAAACACTAGTTGGTAGTATAACCAAAAAGACAGAGACTATTGCCAAGTGACTTTACCACAGAAATTTGATTATATATCCTTCTTGGTACATATATTCATTTGACACACAGTATCTTTAAAAAAAACATTTAAATCCTTTTTAGTATTGCTATTTTAAGTCTGCTGTGCTTGTGTTGAGGGATGAAGCAAATTAGCAATTATGTTGGTTTCACTTATTTTTTAGTAAATGCAGATGTAAGATCAATGAACTTAAGTTAAAAACCCTGTGGTCCTGATTTTGAATTGGAAATACAAGTATGACTGTATGATGTATTTTCTCTCTTCAAGTACATGTACATGTAAATAGATAGACACATATTTGTCAATGTATTAGTTAGCTTTCTGTTGCTATAACACAATACCTGAGACAATAAACTTACAAAAAGAAAAGTTTATTTTGGCTTATGGATTTGGTAGCTCCAGTCCAAGAGCAGGCAGACTCATTGCTGTAGGCATCTGGTGGGAGTGTCATGGCAATGCCAGGAAGTATGTGGTGGGGCAAACTGTTTACTTCATAGCCAGGAAGCAAAAAGAATAACACTGGATGGGTTAGGGTCTCAAAATGCCCTTTGAGGACATAACCCCTGCCCCCCCCACCACCAATAACCTTACAACCTTCCACTAGGCCCCACCTCCTAAAGGTTCTACCACCTCCCAGTAGTGCTATTCTGGGTACCAAGCCTTTAATTGATGGACTTCTGAAGGACTAAGCACCAACCAACTTAGTCCATTGTAAAGGTTAGAAATAATGACCTACCCAGTAACAACAAATGTCCTTAATCAAAGATGTGGTCTCTAGCTACCATTTTCCATGACAAGGAACCAGGACTTTAAGAGATACAGATAATTTCATGTCTGAAGCAAAAATTGCATAGGATGAAATCAGAACAGGTTTTCTCATCAGAAATCAAGGTAGCTCTCAAAGATTAATGGGGTCACTTCAAAAAGATCCAGGAGTCTACCTAAATAACCCATTAGTGGTCAGAGATGGGAAATTTGAACATCATTAGAGATAATAACTACAGTGCACTAGATATCAAATATATGTGCAAATTTATGTGTTTATATGATATTTGAAACAAAAATCCCACCAGTTACCTTTGGAGGATTACAAGATATACTTTCTTGTTTGTAAAATGGTAAATAAGGGAAAGAAATAAACATCCTTTCCTGATTGTCCTTCACGGTTTTATAGTACATGTATGCATATGCTTAGAAAGAAGAAGAAGAGTGAATGAATATATTCCAGTGAAAATGATTGTTATCATTGGTTCCTGGAATTATAATTGGTTTTTATTATATTTTGTGAGCTTTGTCTTCTTCAGTTATCTCTATTGTTTTTAATTTAAAAAATTGAATTCAAAGTTTTCTATTAGCTTATCTGGATTATTATTTTTATATATTTCCTGATTTTTTTCCTTTAGGCCTTCAAACAAGCTAGAAATATGGGAGGATCTGAAGATAATAAGTAAGCCTATATATTCTCTCAGAACACATCCTTAAGCTATTTATAAGGGGAAATTTTTGTACTGCACTATATGAATAACTCTACCAGCCTCATAAAGTTATTGTCAGGATTAAATAAAATAATACTCATAAAACAAATAGATCCATATCTGTTCATAAGACGTACTTAGTGGATTTTAGTGATGGTGGTATTATTATTGTTCTAATTATAATGTGAAAACTCCTAAACTACATATGCCTATGTTAAGTACTGGTGTGTTTAACACTATATTTTAAAGGGAGCTTTTACTCTAATCCAGTTAGGAACTTTACTTTGATATTGTATGCAAACCTTCATTGGCAAAAACAGAAAGAAAGAGCTTCCCTGGGTCCTGTATTATCTACCTTTGTCTCAAAACTTCATATTAACAATTATTCCCATATTTTTTGATCCATTCAACTAATCCTTAGCAATTGAATGATGTTTAAGCCTTGTCTGTTTTTAAAGAAGCCTTTCTAGTATCCTGTTTTTTCTTTCAACTATTGCTTACTTTCCTTCTGACCAAAGATTTCTACATCCTCTTTCTTCACTTTCACTCACTCTTTGACACACTATAACCTGACTTCCACCCCTGTGTCTACCCAGGCAGATTTTGTAGTCATCACTAGTAAGTCTGTGTTGCTAAATCCACTGGGACATCTTTTACCTGCTAGATTTCCCAGCAGCAGTCAACACTTCTACTCTCTCCTCTGTCATGAACATTCTGTCACATATGCTGCTGAGGTATTTTCCTTTTCTTTTCTTTCCTCTACTCCTTTACTGGGCTGTTCCTACTTTGCCTGCCCTTGAAGGCCATAGTTTTTCCATGCCTAGCCACCTTCTCTTAGCTCTCTGGTTCCCTGGAAAATTCTTGAGTTTAGAGGCTGCTACTTTTAGTGCAATCTGTTCTTGTTTTCCTTTCTAAGTTTATATTGTATAGCTCTTTTATACAATATATTTTCATTGGTTATTACTTATTAGGAGCTTAACCTATATTACTTCTAAATAAGTTGTAAGGAGGTGGATTGAATATGAACTATTTAAATTGATATATTTTTATACTTGATACAGTTGCAAATACATTTTTAAATTCATGTTATGAAAAAAATAGTGTTAGAGATGATTCAGGATTTTACACATTTGTTGATATTTTAATAACAATACCAAAGGATTTCTTTTCTCTCTGAAGGTTTCACAAGAAGTATCGTGGCTGTATATAGTACTTGCATGCTGGTTGTTCTTTTGAGAGTCCAGTTAAACATAATTGGTGGATATATTTACTTGGATAATGCGGCTGTTGGCAAAAATGGCACAGTAAGTTTAATAGACTTAAATACATATTGCCCTTTCTCTTAGGAAGTTCAAAGTTTAGTTGAATATTATGTATTCTGATAACAGTTTTTATGAAAAATAATTTTGTATTAAATGAGATTATAAACTTTTGGCATTATGATTATTTTTCATCTTTTGAAAACAGACATTTTTGTATGTTAAAAAATATTTTCCCTGACATTCTAGATCCTGAAAATCTCAACTCAAATTGTACTGAAAATATTACTTACTAATAAAAATTTAGATAATTTAACCTTATTTTTGTTTTGTACAGACAGTTCTTGCTCCCCCAGATGTCCAACAGCAATATTTATCAAGTATTCACCACCTCCTTGGAGATGGTAAGACTCTGACTTGTGACCTTTATATTAATTTCAGGTCACTTACTTGTATTTATTATTGAGGAATTCTTAATGTGAGCAAGATTTTTTAAATTTTGTTTTTCCTTTAATAGGCCTGACAGAATTGATCACTGTCATTAAACAAGCTGTGCAGAATATTTTAGGAAGGTAAGGCATTTTTTGACTTTTCAGACTCCCTGATTCTGAAAAATAAAAGAAAAATTAAAATTGTTCTAGTGAAGCAGGTAACTTGATGAATGGTGATATGTGAAACACTGTGTAACCAGATACCAGCCCTGAGTATTGCATTGTAGAACCCTTTTTCTTCATCAGTATCAACCTGTTGATACTCAGGGGAAATATTTAACATTAATGTTTATTTATTTCTTTGCAAATCAGAAATATTTGGGTCATGAAATGAAAGAAAAAAGCTTCCTTTAAAATCTGCCTAAAGCTTTTATCCCCCACTAACACTAATAAAGTCTATAATTACAATAGGAATTTTCTTATTAACCTGCAGCAAGATTTTTTTCTTGGCTTTGTAGTAATGATCCTTAACTGGTGGCTGATTTATTAATCCATTCTAATTCATTCAGCAGTTTCAGGTTTGACCAGATGAAACAGATAGTAGCCTGTAAAGAAAAAAAATGTGTATGTGATGTGTTTCATAGTTTAAATTTAACTCAATTCTCTTTTCTTTGTTTCTAGTGTTTCTCTTAAATATTCTTTGTCCCTTTTGGACTTGGAGCAAAAAATAAAAGAAATCAGAACTCTTGTTGAACAAGATAAATCATCTTCTTGGATTAATAAAGATGGATCCAAGTCTTTATTATGCCATTATATGATGCCAGATGAAGAAACTCCATTAGCAGTTCAGGTGCTTAATTTATAAACATTTAACCAAACCAGCTATTCTGTATCTTCTAAATTTGTTACTGTCTCTTGAAATGTAAATGATTGAAAGATATATTTCAATAATTTAAATAAAACTTGATTAATTTAGAAAACAAACTGTAAATACTGCTACTTTTTAGTTAGAATCACATATAATTTTAGATATTCAGCAAATTTTTGAGTAATATTTATGTGACAGACACTGCGATATATGCTGCAGATATAAAATAAGGTAGACATGTTCATTTCACTTGGGAATTGAGAAGACAAATTCAGTTAGTATGGCTAGACCTATTTCTGTAAGATCAAGTAGCAGAACCTAGAACAAGATCATGTGAGGACAAGATCATGCAAAGCTTTGTATGCCAAGGTAAACAGATTAAACTTCAATTTGCAGACAAAGAAATTTAAATTTTAATGAAGTTAAGTTCTACATTCAAATTTGCTTTTAAAATAACTAAAGGCAGCCAGGCTTGGTATTGTACACCTATAATCCCAGCTGCTAGGGAGGCTGAGGCAGGAGGATGGCAAATTCAATGCCAGTTTCAGCAACTTACTAGGACCTTATCTTAAAATAAAAACTAAAAAGGGCTAGAGATGTAACTCAGTGATAGAGCACTCCTGGGTTCAATACCCAGTAGTGAAAAAAATAATAATAAGGGTAATGTGAGATGACCTGAAGGATGTTGTAGTTATCCAGTTGAGAAACAAAGCCTAATCTAACAAATTATCAACTATAGTGTTATTACACACTGTTGTGTCCTAAGCAATTGTTGTATAAAAGTCATTCATTGATTAGGAACAAGAAAAGTGCCAAAGATTATAGATTATGTAGTTCATTTTTAAATTAGTGGCTTTTATGCATAAACTAGATTAAGCCAATTCTTTGCAATTGGAAGAATAATAACTCTAACCAACTAAAGCCTCTATGGCATACTTCAGCATGAAGGTACCATAGACTAGAATACTATAATTTAATTGCCTGCCAGTTTGCCTTCCCTTAGAGACCCCAAAGATGACCTCTTTGAGTGCTAAGCAACATTCATGAGCATTTTTTTTTTAAAAAAAGTTGCAGTCTACCATTTAAGGGAGACCTGTCACTTGAAATAGAGAGGCTAAACTGAGTAAGGAGGACAAGTGGTACAGAATTAATGGAAAACTTACTTACAGAATGGTCTCAAGGAGACATAGTAAGAGAATTTTAAAAGCTTTCTGGACTAGAAAACAATTTCCAAATTTTAAAATTCAATAGTGGAACTAAAAAGAAAATGATCTAGAGGAACAGGTGAAGATCAGAATGATGGATAAATCCTACTGAATTGAAAGAAAACCTGAAACTTCAGATTGAAAAACCACATGGAGCCTCAGGATAGACTGATGAAAAAGACACATTTCCTGATAAAATTTTTTAATGATGAAAGAGAAAAAAAAAAACCCAAATCTCTGGAATCTGAAAACCTATTTTTCATTGTCTATATATGCAAGAAATTCACCCAAGAAGGGCCAAATTAACAAGAATTTTATAAAGTATACTTTGACTCATGTTTTAAATACTACTTACCTGTGTACATTAACTATTGTAGGTGTATTTGAGTTTGGTGAATTTATTTTTTATCATTGATGTAACAAAGACTTTTAGACTTCTTGAACTCGTGTGTCTGTAAATGTGATTAGTTTCTTCATGAAACCAAGGTGATATATGAAATTCTGAAGTATGGCATTTTAATTTTACAGGCCTGTGGACTTTCTTCCAGAGATATTACTACTATTAAACTTCTCAATGAAACTAGAGACATGTTAGAAAGGTATGTAGACTGCATGTAACAGGGAAAATGGGCTTGTATTTTGGATGTGTGTAAGAACATTTATTTAGTTTTTCCTGAACACCATATTCAACATAATTTTGTGTTAAAATTAAACTTTGAATCTATTTTCCTGCCTTCAGGTAGGATTTCCTACCTAACTGGAGGTATTTTTTTTTTAAGATAGTCACCTTGCCCACCCACTCCCTTGGACTCTAGATCCTTATGATATATTGATTGAGAGGTTAAAAGGTATATTCTGAAAATGCTTTCCAGGGTAATCTTAGTATACCCCAGCAATATAGAAATTAATTTCTTCCCTAAATTTAGTATTATTATTTGAATCACTTAAAAGTCAAAGTATTAAAAATGAAAAAGCACCAGAGTGTGCATTAGAAGACCATGTGAGCTAGATTCAAAATTGGCTCCTTTACTTATTAGCTGTTCAATCTCAGTTTTGTTTTTCAAGCATTTTTAAAAATTATTTATTTATTCTAATTTATTATACATGATGGCAGAATGCAATTCATTTCATATTACACATATAGAGCACAATTTTTCAAGTTACTGATTGTACACAAAGTATTTTCACACCATTCGTGTCTTTATCCATTTACTTGCAAATGCCATAATTTTATTCTCTTTTAATGTTGAGTAATGTTCCATTGTATATATATGCCAAAGTTTCCCTATTCATTCATCTACTGAAGGGCATCTAGGTTGGCTCCATAATTTAGCTATTGTGAATTGTGCTGCTATAAACATTGATATGTTTGCGTCCCTGTAATATACTGTTTCTAAGACCTTTGGGTATAAACTGAGGAGTGGGGTAGCTGGGTCAAATGGCAATTCCATTCTAAGTTTTTCAAGGAATCTCCATACTGCTTTCCAAATTGGCTTCACTAATTTGCAGTCCCACCAGCAATGTATGAGTGTGCCTTTTTCTCCACATCCTCACCAACAACACCTATTGTTGTTTGTATTCTTAATAGCTGCCATTCTGACTGGAGTGAAATGAAATCTTAGAGTAGTTTTGATTTGCCTTTCTCTAATTGCTAAAGAGATGTTGAACATTTTTTCATATATTTGTTGATTGATTGTATATACTCTGCCGAGAAGTGTCTGTTCAGTTCCTTGTCCCATTTATTGATTGGGTTATTTGGTTTTTGGGGTGTTAAGGTTTTTTAGTGCTTTCTGTATCCTAGAGATTAGTGCTCTATCTGATGTGCTTGTGGTAAAGATTTGTTCCCAGTTAGTAGGCTCTGTATTCACTTCACTGATTGTTTCTTTTGCTGAGAAGAAGCTTTTTAGTTTGAAACCATCCCATTTATTGATTCTTGGTTTTAATTCTTGTGCTACAGGAGTCTTATTAAGAAAGTTGGGGTCTATTTTTTCTTCCATTAGGCACAAAGTCTCTGATTTAATTCCTAGATCCTTGATCCACTTTGAGTTGAGTTTTGTGCATGATGAGAGACAGAGGTTTAATTTCATTTTGTTACATGTAGATTTCTAGTTTTCCCAGCACTATTTGTTGAAAAGGCTATCTTTTCTCCAATGTACGTTTTTGGCATCTTTGTCTAATATAAGATAACTATAGTTATGTGGGTTAGAATCTTTGTCTTCTATTCTATACCATTGGTCTACAGGTCTATTTTGGTTTCAAGCATTTTTTAAATCACAGGTTCTAATAGACTTAAACTCCATGAGATTAGAAAATTGGGTCTTTTCGCTCATCAATGTATACTGTACTTTTAGAACAGTGCCTTGCATGTAATAGATACTCAATAAGTATTTACTTAACTGACCTAAAGTGATAGGAGAGGGAGAAATTGGTGTAGGAAATTAGAGTACTTTTAAGAACAAAGAACCTCAAATAGAAAAAAAAAATGGGATTCAATATACTGTAAAAGGTTGCTAATTACCATGATTTGATCATTACAAACATTGTATACATTATTGAATTACATCACATCCATAAATATGTACAAAGACGTGTCAGTAAAATTTTTTTTCTAAGGGATTGGTTTTAGGAGTCAGTGAGAGATAGCTAAGGATAGGCACAGAGGCATGTAAGTTGGTAGATGTGGTAGGACAAATATGTGGAAGTTCTCATTGCTTATTCTGTGGAGTAGGAAGCAAGGTCATTTCTTTTAAAAAAGCTATTCTCATTTATTTTATTGCCCAAATGAATGCAATCTAATCAGAAGAAAAATAAAAATTAATATTTTTGAGGACTTGTGCTCCAAACACTGTACTATTACCTTTCCTAAATCATTTAATGCATTCCACTGTCATATATAAATAAAATAAATAAATAAATAATTTTAAAAAATATGGGAATTATGGGAAAAAATGCAGGTAGGTTCAGTTTTTATTTCTTGAATTTCCATCCCCTTAATCATTTTTTTCTTCTTTTATTCCTATCATATTCCCTTTGAGGGCAAAATTAAGTTTACTACCTGACCAAGCAATTCCACTCCTAGATATCTGTTGAAGAGAAGTTGAAACATATGTGCACACAAAAACTTAAGAAATTTCATAATAGAATTATTTTAAATGGACAAAAAGTGGAAACAATCTAGGTGCCCATCAACTGATGAATGAATAAATAGAATGTGATATATTTATGCAATGGAATTCTACTTAGCAACAAAAAGGAACAAACTATTGATACATGGTACAACATAGATGAACCCTAAAAACATCATGCTGGCCAGGTGTGACATGACCATGCACACCGGTATAACCAAAATCTCAGCAACTCAGGAGGCTGAAGAAGGGGGACTTCAAATTCCACACTAGCTTCAACAACTTACCAAAACTCTTATTTTCAAAATAAAAAATTAAAAGGGCTAGAGCTGTAGCATCATAGTAAAATACTCTGGGGTTTGAGCCCCACTACTGAAAAAAATTAAAAATAAGAAACCATCATGCTAAGTGAGAGAAGACAGACACAAAAGATCACAATTTCCTAAGACTCTGTTTCCATGAAATGTCCAGAAAACTACAGAAACAAAAAGTAAATTTATGGTTACCTGTGGCCCGGGTTGGGATGGGGTTGTCTGCAACTGGACAAAAAAAGGTGAGAAAAATGATCTAAAATTGGATTGTAGTGATAGTTGTACAAATATGTAAATTTGTGAAAAATCAGTACTTAGTACATTTAAAATGAGTGAAATTTATAGTATCAAAGTTCTAACACATTAAAGTTTTTTTGAAAAGAGAAGAAATAGGAAAAAATATATAGATACATATACACACACACTGATTTAAAAAGCGGTACTTACTTCACTAGGCATTTTCTAACTTTGATAGTATCCTTGAATAGTATTTTTTTTTATATCAGAGTTGTGTAAGGTATGAAATCCATGTAATTAAAGGAGCCTGAATTAGGATTGAAAAATACCTGGATATGAATTTGACCTCCCCAGTTTACTAATTGTATTCCTTTGAGGGAGTTTCTCCATTCTTCATGTATCTTGTTTTTCATCTATACATGATAATAATATTTTCTATCTCATTGAATTTGGATGTTGTAGTAAAGCAAACCAATAATCTGTGACTGTGGAAGGATTCAAAAGTTTCCTTGAGAGAAGTAATAATTGTATTGCTATTTTTTAAAAAAATGTTGTATAAAGTGCTGATTTATAAAAAAAATCTAGTGGAATGAATGAATATTGTCATCATGTTGTGCTAAGTAATAATATCATTTTATGCTTATTTTTTTAAAGATTGGTTCCTTGATTAATTTTTAATGTTTCTGGCCGTAAAAACTAGATTATAACTAGAAATGTTAGTGGCTTTCAAAGATAGCTACATAACTATTGAATTTGTTTCCTTTTCCATGGAGAATCTAAAAAGTAACATATACTTCTTATTTTATGTAGTCCAGATTTTAGTACAGTTTTGAATACCTGTTTAAATCGAGGTTTTAGTAGACTTCTAGACAACATGGCTGAGTTCTTTCGACCTACTGAACAGGACCTGCAACATAGCAACTCCATGAATAGGTAAGATGACATATGAAAATGGTATCATACAAATGAATGGTCTTTAAAAATAGTGCTTTGGATACATTTATTTTTTGTCCCAGATGAAATCTTAGAGAATAAATTTGAGTACCTCATTTTTAACATATTAAACTTTTTGAACCAATGACTTCTTCATTAGTGGAAGTTCCTTCTAGATTCAATATTAGAACTTGCAGTTTTTCTAAAATTTTTGCCACTATATTGAAGTATTTAAGCTGTGAAACTACCTTTCTATAAACCAAATTCCAGTTATAGTTTTTTTTAACTTTTTAAGGCATAAAATGATAATGTACTTAAATTTAAATGTGTTCTTCAATATTATTCTGGTATTGTAAGCCATTGTTGGTTTACATAATTCAATACTTTTACTGGGCATTCTTGTTGTAGATTCTCATTTAATGAATTTTCTCCTTGTATTATAATTATCTTATTACAACTATCTCTAAAAATTGAGATCATTATAATTCAAGGAGAAAATTCATTTTATGATAGGATTGGTATTATTTAGTTAGTTCAATGTTAATAATGTTAATTATACCTGTTATTTACATTGTGGATCCTTTATCAGCTCAAGATGAGCACCTTTGGTCTCATTTTAGGATCTACACTCTTCCAGGAGCTCTGTTTTTGCAGATGTTTATGTCACATTCAGAAATAAGGGTACCAAATCAATGATGACTCTAAAGTGTCCCACTAAAATTTGAGGAAACAATAACTGATAAGCAATATGTGCAGTGTCCAGTTTAATTTTTAAATATCTATATATGACAAGACATTGTTTACCCACTTCTATTAAACCCTTCTTTATTGTACAGAAAAGAATAATTTGCCATTAACATTGAGCATTTGGAATACTTAGAGCCATAAACTTTATTTTCTGAAACAATTTGAATATGATCCTCAAACCTTTTTTTGGCAGTTCTTTTAAGTTACATTAAAAATATTTAGCTCAAGGCCAATCCTGTATTTGAAAACCAAGATACTCAGTTAATACTGGTAAAAAAAAAAAAACTGTAGTTAATAAAATTTGAGTATAATTTGAATTTAGCAAAGTATTAGTTATTTCCCAAGTGGTGGTAAAGAATGGTAATAGTTGTTTTAACATGAACAAAAGCTTTATCTTATACTAAATAATTACAAAAATTAGACTGCAACATCATCAGCCCTTGGTAGTCTTATCATTTTCTGAACACATAGAGTGCTTACTGTCTATACTTTCATGCACAACCTACATGCACCACTTTGAAGTTTTATTCCTCAGTTAAATTTTGAGTCTCCTCTCAAAAATAGAGATCATATTATACCCTTTCATATCTCTGCATGTATATACTGGGACCTCAGATATTTCCTATTTTTCTATTTCAGAAAATAACCAACTATATAATCTATATGTAACACTTAGAAACATTTACATCATGCATACTATCATCACTATTATTGAACATGTTGTGGAAGTTCTAGTCATTATGGTAAATGAAGAAAAAAATAAAATTTTCAAATTGGCAAAGAAAAAATGTATCATTATTTATGTATTATGTATTATGATTAATATTTCACATCTCTGGAGATAGTCAACTGAAAATGATGCAAACTAATAAAGGTTTTAGATATATAAAGTATATGCATAATGCTTTATATATTATGTATACATATATATTAATATATATATACAATGGATATTTAAAATGAAAAGCTTACGTATCACCAGTAGTGCTCAATAGAAACTATAATGAATAAGATAGGACTAAAAGGAAAACTGTAGATTTTCAAGGGATGAATATAGATATAAGAATTCTTAATAAAATATTAGCAAATGAAATCCAGAAATATATGGTGGCCAAAACCTTTTCTGTTTGCTAGTGTGATAGATATTCTTCAGAACATATCTCATAGAATTCTTAAAGTAACATTAGGAAATAGGTGCTGGTATTTTTCTCATTTTCCAAGTGAGAAGACTGACACAAAAAAGTTAAATAACTTCAGGTCAAAAATCTAGGAAGTGGTAAAGACAGATGTTCAATAACTTCTGTTGAATATCAGAGCCCAGAATTTTAATTATTCTGCAACTAGGACTAAATAAGGTTTATTTTAAGAATGAGAAGAGGGTCAAAACATTAGTAAAGCTTTTACAATAAACTATAAAATTAATAGGACAAAAGAACATCATCACTGTTGCTGAAAAGGCATTCAATAAAGCCTTTTGAATAATCAATTATTGATAAAACCTCTTATCATAAATAAAAAAGTATGTTTATAAAAATAAAAGAGCTTGGGTGTGGCTCAGCGGTAGAGTGCTTTCCTCACACCTGTTAGGCCCTGGGTTTGATCATTAGCACCACATAAAAATAAATAAATAAAATAAAGTTATTGTGCAACTACAACTAAAAAATAAATATTAAGAAAAGAAAATTTGAAATCAAGAACAAATATATTTAATAATGAAACACCAGAATGATTTTCATCACATTCAGAAACAATATAAAGATGGTCAGTATTGATATATTTACTCAGCATCATTCTTTTATTCTAACTAATGTAGTAAGGCTAAGACAAGATCATTTTTTTGAAGACAAAATTGAGGAAAGCCATTGTTTTTTTATATACTTATCTTGGAAATAGACAACTTACCAACTGTTGTTACTATTCTAATAAACTGTTAATTGACTCTTGATTTTCTAAGTTAAATTTGTGTAATCTTTTAAAATAATACAAGTTTTGGAAAGAGAGAGGAATGACTATTGTTATTTGAAGGTGACATGATTTTAAACTTAGAAAACCAAGAGAATTAACTAAAAATTATAAAATTATTCTCCTAGACTTAGTCAAAGTACTATACTAAAACCCCATTGGGTATTGGAGGATATCGCTTTGTTAATAGTTAATATCATTTTGGACAAATGATAATACAGATGATCTGGAAAAACACTGGGCTGAGACTATTTAAGAATTATTGAAAAAGTAGAACAGTGAATTAGCTTTTCCTGTAGAATACATAAAGTGTTAATTATTAAGATAATATGTTACACATAAAAGAATAGCTAAATTAGCAGAATACAATATAAATTCCAGACATAGGCCCTAGGTTCAATCCCCAGCATAAGGGGAAGGGTTAGGAGGAGAAGGGAGGAGAAAAGAAAAGAAAAGAATGTTTAGGATTATGGAGAGATCGGATATCAACAAGGATAATGCCCAGGTTTTCTACTAACATTGCCAGATAGATAATGATATAGTTCAGAATAGGGGCAAAAAACATTCAACTTTGATAGTAATTAAAAGAAATACAGATTTATAACATTTCACTTTTCATACATAGAAAGATTAAAGAAAACAGTACCCAATGTGGAAATAAGGCCTGATGGAGCAAGCCTATTCGTATACTGCTGAGGAAGCAGAGGGCATTTGGCAGTGTTCACAATAAATCTTAAAAGCATTAATACTGTTTGACCATGTTTATACAGAATTATTTATGTTAAGAAAATCAAGACAAATACTTAAATGACCCCAACTTTAAGAAGCTGATGATGAAAATTCTCATAGCTAGAGAATGGATTACCATGCAATCATTAAAAAAAAAAAAATCAGACCAAAATTTTAGAACTTTTTAAAAGATAGAAATGCTCATAACAAAATATTAAAAACAATATTTTCAAGTTGTTAAGAGTTTTGTGTTAAAAAAAAAAAGCTATGTGTAAAAATTACCAGAAAAACTATCCATGAATTCAATTGGTTGTAATTTCCAGGTGGTAGACTTATGGTTGGACTTGATTTTTCTTTTAATATATTTCTGTATGTATTCTTCTATGAGTGAATGTTACTTTTTAATTAAAATGTTAAATGACTATGAGATGATTTCAGAAAATAATCACTATGATGATTTTTCAGTCTTTCTAGTGTCAGCCTGCCTTTAGCTAAGATAATTCCAATAGTAAATGGACAGATCCACTCAGTTTGCAGTGAAACTCCTAGTCATTTTGTTCAGGTAAGAACAAACTTGGGGATACTATTGAACACAAATTATATTCATGACATAATCATGTTTTCTAACATAAAATTGCATTATCCACTGTAATATACGTTCAAAATAACACAAAACCTGGAATCATGTGTAGAGTGTGGTGGAATGCCCCATGAGAGCAATAATGTATCACAGAACATTTATAAGGTTCCCTGTGTTATAGTCCAAACACCTGTTGGACTCCCTTTTAGACCAGATATATTCTAGGGGTCAGTTGAATTTATACAGCATTAATGGTTTGCATGAAGCTGTCTTTGTAAGAAAATTGAGCCTTGAGGCAAATCAGTGATCCAGTTGCTCAGGGTTTGAAGAAAACTAAAAGAAATTTCACGGACACGCATTTTAGTAATTAATGAAATACAACTGTTAATAGTGCATCAGTCTGGTCACTAAAAGCTGCATAAATAATGAGTTATTTAAATTTTTCACTCATCAACCCACAGCTCTTTTTTCTTGGGAATGCAGTGAGTAAAACTGTTGTTATTAAAAGGATAATCTCTATCTACATAATTATTTCTGAATCATTTGAAAATTTAGGAACTGAATTATAAGGAAAAAATTACTTACAGTAGGCCTCAGTTGCTAAACTACTGCAGCAGTATACAGAAAGAAGGCCTAAGGGTAAAGATGGCATCCTCATAATGTTATTTCTGCTCTGGGAAAATTTATCTTCTTATTATTTTATCTATTACTATTTTAATTGTACAAATTTCCCAGACACAGAATGATAATTTGATACATATACATTACCAGAAAAACTATCCATAAATTCAATTATAGTTGTCATTTCCAGGTGGTAGAATTATGGTTGCATTTTGGATTTCAGATATTTTTTGGATTTTGGAATATTTGCATATACAAATTGTCTCAGACAATTTAGTCCATCTTCAGTGAAGTCTTGGGAAGGTGAAGAGCACCGAGGCTAAGAAATGTTATTTATTTTTTTTCCAGTAGAGTTATTAGCCTGTTCTTCACATGCCTATTTTCCTTTACTGTTCTCTTCAGTCTTCAGTGTCATCAGCTTTACCCAAAAGAGCTGAGCATTAACATTTCAGAAAAAATAGTGAATAAGGCTGATCATATTTCACTGAATTTAAGCTTCACATGTATATCTGGGTGAGAAAAAAAAATTGTGACTTTTAGCACTTAAAGCTTAACTTTGGGGCTGGGGATGTGGCTCAAGCGGTAGCGCACTCACCTGGCATGCATGCGGCCTGGGTTCAATCCTCACCACCACATACAAACAAAGGTGTTGTGTCCGCCGAAAACTAAAAAATAAGTATTAAAATTCTCTCTCTATCTCTCTCTAAAAAAAAAAAAAAAAAAAGCTTAACTTTACCTTTCTCAACTTTCTATTGAAGTCATCTCTGGTGTTACCTGTAGGCCATTCATTTTGATCAGTAAGTGGGAAATACAACCAAGTATAAACATCCTCATTAGCCTTAATACCTAAGTAATTTTATGTAGTACATTTTAATCCTGTATAATTAGCCAGATGCAGTGGTGCACGCCTGAAATCCCAGCAGCTCAGGAGGCTGAGGCAAGAGGATCACAAGTTCAAAATCAGCTTCAGCAGCTTAGTGAGGCCCTAAGCAACTTAGTGAGACCCTGTCTCAAAACAAAAATATAAGGAAAGGCAGAGGATGTGGCTCAGTGGTTAAGAACCACTGCATTCAATCCTTGGAACCAAAAAACAAATTAATTCTGCATAATTAATATAATGAAAACAAAGGGTTCTAATCTAATAAGATTAATATTAGCATTTACTATCATTTTTCAGTGTGACTGGATGTTGATTCTGTTTATATATTAGATCGTTGATTTAAAAGGCTTCTATCTTATTTTTTAAATTTATCTGAGTTAAAATACCAAGTGATCTTCTTAACCAAAAATAATGTCTTAAGCTCTTTTATTTTTATTTATCTTCCATAAAGCATTTGTCTTGATTGGAATGCTAAGATACTTGAAATTAATCCTTCCAAATTACTGCTAGTAATTCAGTCGCAAAGATGTATAGGAGATACACTTGTGGGAATGCTATAGGACCAGGGTTGGCAAACTCCATGAAGGCCAGACACAGATTATTTCTTATCTGAAATGCTTGGGATCAGAGTGAGTATTTTGGATTTTGAATATTTTTTGGATTTTGGAATATTTGCATATACAAAATGAGATATCCTAAGGATGAGACCCAAGTCTAAGCACAAAATTCATTTATGTTTCAATGCATTTTATAGCCTGAAGGTAATTTTAAACAATATTTTTATTGCACCTAACTTTTGATAATCTGTCATGTGAAGTCATGACCTGTAGGCCATACTTTGCTGACCCTTGTGGTAAAAGATATTAGGATGGTAGTATGGCTGGGAAAGGTAGGAAATTGGACAAAATTGGAAAACAATTGAGAAAGTTAGTTTTTTCAATGCTATTTCAAATAACATAATGAGACAAATTATTTCAGATTGCTTCCAAATAACGTAAGAAAAGAACATTTGTAATTAGGGAGCAAAGAGAGACACTCTACTTGCCAGATACAAAATATATACCCCAAATAAATGTTCCTGATGACCCACCTCCTCCAGCCACACCCTCCCTTCCTTCAACCACCAGTTAATCCTATCAGGGGATTAATTCACTGATTGGGTTAAGGGTCTCATAACCTAATCATTTCTCCTCTGAACCTTCTTGCATTGTCTCACAATGAGTCTTTGGGGGATACCTCATATCCAAACCATAACAGTCTGAACCAACCCTGTAGGGTAGAGCTTGGGTCAGCCATCTATAAACTGAGTCAAATCTGGCCAACCACCTGCTTTTGTTCTATTGGACAAACCTATGTCCTTTAGTTTATGTACTATTTGATACTGCTTTGCACTGCAATAATAAATATTTCTCAAACTTATTGATATACCTCTTCTAAGTTTAAAAAAACAATCAGTCCACCAGTGTTGAAATTGTTTTAATATGTAAGTTTAAAAAAACTATATAAACTCCTTAAGCTTAGACCTTTTCATAACTTAAAAACAAAAAGCACGTTTTTTTTTTCATTAAATTAGATCTAAAATACAAAAAGCACACCTTACTAAACATAGCTGATGGCTACTAATTTGTTGTTCCAAAGTGAACATGGACCTATCTGTTACCATTCATGTTTGTGGGCATTCAACCTGCTTCTTCTACACCTAACTTGCTGGGCACTCTTTTTTGTCTACTTTAACTATTCTGAAACCTTCATTTATATCCTATGAGCTACTAGTATATGATTTGGGCTTCATTGAAAGAATTTCTATCTTTATTCTTTTCTCATTACCTCTGTACTTTTAATTAATTCATAAGACTCAAAATACTACTACTTGGAGCCAATAAGAATGTAAGTATAAATACAAAAGCCCTAAATTCTAGGTTATACATTTATCTTTCAAATGATCTAATTTGTGAATTTTCTTTTAGAGTTCATAGAAATTAAAACTCAAAATTTCCTCTCAAATTCTTGGGCCCTGAAAGCATGTCTATAAATCCTGGTTGAAAAAAACATTGATCTAAAACTGTTTCATTGAACATAGTTGAAACTGAATACATTGAGTTCTTTGGTGGGAGAATTTAACCATAAACTGATTGAGATCAGCACTTGCACTAAGTGCACTTAGGTTTTCTAGTACTCAAGGTTCAGGTTCACTTCCTATGTCTTTGACATTTTCAGAGGCTTTAAGCCTCTGTCATGGACCCCTTTTTAGAATCACGTCTACAAATGAAGGTAGCAAAACTGCTTTTTAAAAAACTTTCATGCAAATTTTTTTAAGGGCAACTAATTATATACAGTTTTCAAAATACCTCTTAAAATCAAACATTTTGTAGCAGTATTGCTGCTTTATTTATTAAATGTCAAGATGGGGAAGTCTAGTAACATAAGTAAAATATAAAAATGTCTGTGATTTTTATTGATGACAAATTTACATATCCTGTTTAATATTGTTGTGTTTTGAGGCCTGTGTTCATATTTGAAGGAAATTTTGGATTTTAGAGTTAAAGGTTAATAAATAAATAATGTGTGTGTGTGTGTGTGTGTGTGTGTATATATATATATATATATATATATATATAAAGGTAATTTTTTCCTTATCTTTATATTCACAAACCCCTGGGGTTAAGAACCTTTGCTCTAACGTTTATACAGTTGGTTTGTATGTGTGTGTATATAAAATATGAGCCCGCTATGAGGTTGGAGTTGTGGCTCAGTGGTAGAGCTCTCGCCTGGCATACATTTAAATTTATATGAATATACATTTAAATTTATGTGAAGACTATTTGGGACTTTCTTTTGCTAAATAATACTTGAATACTTGTACGCCATCTTTCATATAATAACTCAAACAATAAATATGTCCTAGGATTTATTATAAGAAAAAATATTCCTTTCCTTAATGGTATATTTCTTGGATTTAACTACCACAACACTTAGAGCCAAATTCATTGTTTTATTGCAGAAATGAATTCAAAATTACCTATACTTTTTACAAATTGTAATGTAATATTGTCCTTTTTGCTAGGATCTGTTGATGATGGAACAAGTGAAAGACTTTGCTGCTAATGTGTACGAAGCTTTTAGTACCCCTCAGCAATTGGAGAAATGACTTTTCCTTCAAGAAAAACTACAGTGGGATTCAGTTACTTTTAAAAATACATGAATAAGTCAACTATACATAGAGTGACAATTTGTTACAAAAATGCCTAATAAAAATATATTCTTAATCAAAGTCTTCATTTCATAATGAAATAGATTTATTTGGCATCTTAATATATTTTTTTAAATTCATCAACAGACCAATTTTTGCAGGTATATCTAAATGTACACACAATGCAGATATAAGAATTGTTCATAGTTTATTACATCAGGGATATTTGATCCAAACTGACTACAACTAAGGTAATTACTTTTATATAAACTATGAAGTGCTGTGTATTTTGGCATTAATACTGAGGAAAAATCTGTTCAGGAAATAAGCCTAAAATGTATGAAGTTTGGAAAATGTGCTGTTTAACTAATCATAAAATTCCTTGGACTCTGCAGTAACCAGGAGTAAATATTGGACTTTTCTCCAGTTACCTTTCAAAGGAATAAATTATTTGTTTCATATATTCTGGAGGGGTTTTTTTTCTTAAGGAAATCAGTGAATTTTAACAATTATGATGAGCTTTTTTTTTTCTTTGCTATTTCTTTGCAATAGTTTCTAACTTTCTTAGAAAGTTACATATTGATTTATAGGCTCAAATTGTGTTAATGCTGTTTTACTCACAGCTATTATTAACTGCATAATTTTATTAATTTGTATGTAAATAATTTTAATAACTTACTTTGTAATGATTTTGAGTACAATGAATCTTATTGCAATAAACTATTTTAATACAACAGATTTGTTGAGTTAATATTTTACTGCCATTATTTGTCCCATAGTGCTGTTACTGTTATTTTGGAAGAACAAGTTTTAGGTTTCATTTTAACTGCTAATATAGTTGCTTTAACTTGTTTAGAAAAAAAATAAATAGCATTACTTTCTGAAAAATAAATGAATGCATTGTCTCTAGTAACTTTATAGTTCTGAATATAGAAGGGGAATTATGGCAGAAATAAATGAATCATTATCATTAGTGTATTAGATATATTTTCAGTAATAGATAATTTTCAAACATCATTTATGTCTCTCTAACATAGCTAAATAGTAAAAGGCAGAAAATGAGTTGTGAAGTCTTTTCTAGAATGCTTTAAAAAATGAAAACAGGTATAATCGAGAAGAGGGAATGCTTTCAAAGTTTGACAGAATATATTGTTATCATTCCTAATTGGGTGAAGGAAAAATTGCATTTTGGAAGGTTAGGGAACATATATAATGGGCATGCATGTCTTCCAGCAATATTTACCCAGGATTTCATCAGAGAAAATTTGAGAATAAACAGGGGCGGTTTTATAAGAACACGTTTGATCAACTGAAAATTATTACTTGGAATCATCTGCATCTGTACAGTTGTGGCTGTTGGAAAGATAGCAAGGTAAAACCATATGTTTTTAAAATTATTTGTGTTAGGCATTACTAGTTTACTTTCTAGTAATACTAGAGTTGCTTTGTCAGACACTTAGTATGCTTAATCTAAAAAGTTATTTGAAACAGATTATTATATACACATGTTTTAGACATTTTAACTTATAATATAAGTATTCTTTATTTGCCAGTGATTTTTCATAGGACCCGGGCCTTTTCTAACTTCAGTATGCGCTGCTGAGCTGGAACACTGGTGGTGGAGTGATTAGCAGAACTGCCTTCCAGTGGAGGTCCACTGTAAGTGTTCTATAATTGTCTTTCCTACACAAATCACATGGATTTCATTGCATGGCTGTGAACCAGAGGGGCAGAATTTTTGTACATTTTTATTGTAGTTCTCTCCAGTTTGTTAGTACTGTTTTGCCTACACTTAACCAATAGCATTTTTAACATTTGGGCGATATTTTATCTGTTCTTTCTGAAGTATTAAACTTGGCTTTCACAGCAACTATAACTCTTCAACATTCATCAACTAATATAATCATAAAAATAAAATGTCAACTTGCATAATCAATTTAGCAACCATATTAGTTTCTCAGGGCTGCTGTAAAAAATTACTATTAACTGGGAAGCTCAAGACAACAGATATGGTTAGAAATTCAAAATCAAGGTATCAGCAAAGCCGCACTTCCACTGCAGGCTCTAGGGAAGATCCTTCTAGTCTTTCCTTGCCTCGTCCAATCTCTGGTGGCACCAAGCATTCCTTGATTTATGTAGTTGCATAACCCTAAATCTCTGCTTTATGTATCTCTGTGTCCTTTTCTAAAGTCTCTTTTAAGGATACTGGCATTGTATTTAGGACCTACCCACATCTACTATTTGCTTGTCTCAATCCTTAATTACATCTGTAAAAACACCATTTCCAAGTGAGATCATGTTCATAATTGTTGAGAACACTATTCAACTTATGATAGTCACATACTCAACTAACTTTTGGTTTATACATATTTTAGCAACTGGAAATGGATGAGCTTACCAAATAAAAGCCTAAAGCTTGTCCTGGGCATCAATCTGTCTATTTTTTACAAGGAAATGAACAGTATCAGTTAATCTGATGATTAAATGGAGATGACTTTAAACTGTCTCTACTTTTATACTTTCAAACTTGCATAAATATGCTTGTTATTATATATGTATAAAAGTTTTATATGGGCATTTATTTTATCTGGAAATTAAGAAGATTCTTATCTAACCAAGTTTTTCACTTAGCCAAAATGAAATGAAGGTTTATTATAATTCATATTTATTTGTAGTCTGACCTCTAAGAGCAATTACATTCTTCAATATGGCACTCAGAAGAAAATGAGATAAATCTTATTAAATTGATATTCATTTTTTAAATGGCAAAACAAACATCAATGTCTATATTATTCAATCTAAAACTTTGCCTTTAATATATACTTTGGTTTACTCTGCCTTTAATATATAGTCATTAAAAGTAAATCAGAAATTACCGAAATTCAAGTAAGGCAAATTTGTGCCTATGAGCAACTCTAGGAAAAGGATTAATTAGTGAAAGGATAAAAAACTATTGGGTTAGATAGGTAGTGAAAGGTCTGATTTCTAACCATCCTCAATCCTTGCCTTCCATGCCTCAGATCATTTTAAGAATTTGGAGTGTTTCAAATCCTTGTTATAATAGTATAATAGTGTTCCCTCCAAATTATTCACCTGGAACCTCTGAGTATTAGCTCACTTGGAAATGTTGTCTTTACAGTTGTAATTTACCCAGTGGTAGTACATTTCACATATAAACAAGATATACTTTAAATAAATCTAAATTTAGATCTATACTTTTTTATATATAGTCTGGTTATTGGCAAAACATCAGCACTTCTGAATACTGAATTTTTTTCATATAGCTCCCTCATAGCTACTCATTTACTAAACCCTGTCTCTAACTATGATTTCCTGAAGTATTTCCATTTTTAGCATAACTTCATTCTTAATTTTAAGAGGTCAAGATGGGCAGGTGTTTTAGTCAACGTTTTCACTGTTGTGACTAAAAGGCTCAACCAGCACAATTGTAGAGGGAGAAAAGTTTATTTGGGGGCTCACAGTTTCAGAGGTCTCAGTCATAGAAGGCCGATTCCATTCTGTGGGGCTGCAGGTGAGGCTGAACATCATGGTGGAGGAGTATGGCACAGGGAAGCAGTTCACATGGTGATCAGAAAGCAGTCTTCACTTGCCAGATACAAAAACACACCCCCAATTCCCATCTCTAGTCACACCCCACCTGCCTCTAGTTACCAGTAATCCCATCATGGATTAATTTGCTGATTAGGTTGAGGATATGACCCTATCATTTCTCCTCCAATCCTTCTTGTATTGTCTCTCTCTCGAGTTAGGTTTTGGGAGACACCACATCTAAACCATAAAAGCAAGGTAGGAATTTAAGCAATTCAGAAATTTTGGGCTCAAGAATAATTTCTTCAAACAGCTAACCCTACTTTTGCCTTTAGATTACTGTTAGTACCATTTGGTTGGATTTTGTTTTGTCATTTTCCTTTATGTATTATTTTATTTGTTGGTTTCTTTTTCTTTTTTTGTGTTGTTTTTCTTCATATAGTGTTTGGAATCATGAAAATCTACATACAGTGGATCTCTAATAAAAGGTTAATCGGGATTTAGGAACTACTGAAATATTTATCCACATAAATTCTTTGGCATAGCTTCAAATATTTAATAATTGCAGCTGAATCCCAGCTACTTGAGAGGTAGAGGCAAGAATGTCACTTGAGCCCTGAAGTTTGAGGTCAGCCTGGGCAATATAGTGAGACCCTGTCTCAACAAGAAAAAATAATGGTTAGTTTCAAGAACCTCAACAATGAGTAATTTTAAAAATAAAGTTTTCAACCTTGGCATGATTTTAGGAAATAAAAATAATGTTTAATCTCACTATTTGAAGGACTTTTTTGAAACACATTTCTACATTTGATTGTAGCAAAGTGGAATCTATAGTATTTCAAATAAAGATAGGGCCATATAAAACATCTTTTGTTGAGGGGAATGAGCTCCTTAATTAATTTTCATTAAACTTACATTTGAAAAATCATAATTATTTTTGTCTCCTTCTAAGAGATGATCTGAATAGATTTCCTAATTTTCAAATGGGTTTTCAACTTCAATTTGCTTGAAGGTAAATACAGTAAACAAATGTATGAATTTAAGTTGGCCTTCAGATTAACTCATCTTCAAAAATAGGCCCACACCTCAAATCTCATACCTCTTTCTAACCTCTCTTTCTGCAGGGGAAAAAAATTGGAAGACTGTGTTCTAAAATATTAGTAGTGCCAATCTGAGTAGCAATTTCATCTTGGAGAATTTGTTTTAAAATATCTATAATAAACATGTATCAGTTTTATAACTAAGAGGGAAAAAGACTATTACTGGATATATTGGAAATACACATTGGGCCAAATTTATTAAATACCTGTATTATTATATGCTAGGGTTGCCGTAACAAAACAAGACACATACACACACACACACAATTGCCTAGATGGCTCAAACAACAGAAATTTATTTTCTCAGTTCTGGTAGCTGGAAGTCCAACATCAAGATATTGGCAGATTTGGTTGGTTTGATGCTTCTGTCTTGCAGATGGTGACCTTCTTGCTATGTTTTTACATAGCTTTCCTCTGTGCTCTTGCATCTCTGGTACCTCTTTCCCTTATAAGGACACCAGTCCTATTGAATTAGGGCCCTGCCCTTATGACCTCATTTAATCTTAATTATCTCTTTATAAATCTCTATTTCCAAATATAGTCACGTCGGGGGTTAGAACCTTCAACATAAGAATGGTGGGGTCGGGGGGACACACACAATTTAATCCATAGCACCACTAATTCCCAAGCAAAACTAAAAACAAAAAATAATTCTACCTCTGACACACATGGAAATGAATTCAATGTGAAGAGGAAAAACTTAAATGGTAAAGTGCCGTGAAAGTTAAAATGATACCATGAGTAATTTAGGCAACAGGGAGAAAAGGGAACAGAGAGCTGTGTTTTCTAATTACTTGATTTTTTTTATTTGTTTTAATTAGTTACACATGACAGTACAATGACGTTGACATATCATACATTTGAGTCAGATGGGATAAAATTTTATATTTGCTTTCTCCACATAGTATAATCACAGACACCTATCATTTCCTAGTGTTAGAGCTAACTGCAGCATGGGTCTCTCTGCTGCATGTTAGGTCACGTTAGTTAGAGCAAGAGCCCAGCCCCAATTGCAGGGCATCTGAGGAAAGCTTAGCTGTGGCAGTTCTACCATAATGCCATCTGGCTTTGAAGAAATCCAGTTAAGCTGCTTTCCGTGTCCCAGTAGTTTTACCTGAAATTAGAAACATTACACATACAATGTCTCCAGATGCATCTCTCAGATCCACCCACTTTTTGGGGAGAAGAAGTGATTGATATTTCTAAAAAAGCACCACTAACAGAAGATTCTTTTGTTTTGGGTTTTTTTTTGTTGTTGTTGTTTGTTTGTTTGTTTTTTGTCCCAGGGATTGAACTCCAGGGGCACATGACCACTAAGCCACATCCCCAGCCCTATTTTGTATTTTATTTAGAGACAGGGTCTCACTGAGTTGCTTAGCACCTCGCTTTTGCTTTTGAGGCTGGCTTTGAACTCTTGATCTTCCTGCCTCAGCCTCTTGAGCCACTGGAATTACAGGCATGTGCCACCAGGCTCAGCAGAAGATACATTTTTACCTTTCGAGAGTTACAAGTTTTAAGTCAATTCAGTGAATACATCTTTTTCCTTTATTACTCTCAAGAAGGAAATAAAATTGTACCAAGATTGGGGGAATCAAAATTGTGAAGCTTGAATGAAGTGTCCAAGGAGGGGAAATGCCAAAGAGAGAATCAGATAGAAAAAGACTGGAACCATTTTGCCCAACCAACGCCTGCCCAGTGCTTACACTGAATGTTTGGAGAAACAACTCTCTTCTTTAGCCACTGTTTCTTCCCAGGTTTTCTAATAGCCTCCACTAATCAATAATATATAAATTTAATCAGTTACTGCTGTAATTGTTTCACAGCCTTAATTTTCATTATGCTAAGTGGATTAAAAGAAGTTATTCCCTACATATGCTAAGAGTATTTTGAACCATAACTTTCTCAGATGGATCAACATAAGAACAAAATCCTTCTACTTTTATTTTTTGCTGTCAAAAAGTCTTCCACATGCTAGATAAACAGTCTACAAGAAAATATTCATCAATAACTTCATATTAATTGACTCATAGGCCACAATCCTTTTTAGTTTTATTTTGAATCAGGATCTCATTAAGTTGGCCAGACTGGCATTGAATTTGTGATCCTCTTACTTTAGCCTCCCAAATAGCTGAGATTACAGGCATGCACCACCACACCCAGCATCCCATGTACTTTTAAATAATAATACTAACTGATGCCAAAGAAAATGTAGATAAACTTAAATAATGTCATATCCAGACTTTAAAGGTGTCCTTAAATTTTAGATTTGAACTCATCTTATTTCTGCCTGATAACCATAAGTGTCACAAATGTGGAAAGTGACACAGAAAGGCTTATTTGGGCAACTCAGCTCCAAAGGAATCAACATCTTAAAGAACAAGCCATAAAATATGTCAAAATGGACTGACTACCAGACCTGGTGGTTACAACAGTTAGTTTAAAATAGTAGGGTAATAACCAGGCCACGGTGCATGCTTGTCATTCCAGAGGCTTGGGAGGCTGAGGCAGAAGGGTTAAGAGTTCAAAGCCAGCCTCAATAACTTAGCAATACCCTAAGCAACTTAGCAAGACCTTGCCTCTAAATAAAAAATATTTTTCAAAAAGGGCTGGGGCTGCGGTTATGACTCAGTCCTGTAGCGCTTGCCTAGCATGCATGAGGCACTGAGTTTGAGTCTCAGCACCACATATAAATAAATAAATGAATAAATAAAGGTTCATCAACATCTTTAAAAAAACCCAAAGGGGTGTAAACTGTGGATGGGGCTTAGTGGTTAATTGCCCATGGATTCAATCCTGGATATCAAAAAGAAAAAAGTAGGGCCATGACATCTTAAATCATAAATCAGATGCGTTCTGGGCTGGGATGTCAGAGGAAGCACTTGAATATCAATTTTATGGAAAAAAAATCAGTAAACTTGAACAATGTAAAATGACTGAAGAACAATATCTATTTTATATTGATATGCATGGAGATGATATATTTGTTGTAAGTTTAATTTTCTTAGGAAGAATTTGAAAAAATTTTGGCCAAACATTTGCAATTGATGAAGCTCATTTAAAAATTATTCTTATTAGATATAAGAGGAACATATATAAGGCTCCCCTTCAAATTAAAACAAGTTATGTTCTCATCAGGATATTTTAGTCAGCAACTTAAAGGAACACTTCCTCTTACCTCTGTTTCCCCCAGAATACCTCTGGGTTGGCCAAGAAACAGGTGTCCTGAGGCGGGCCACTTAAGGAAGATGGCATAGACTAATTTTTCCTTAGGTTTAGATGTATACCTGGTTAAAAGAAAAAATAGAAAGCATAGTAACAAGTTACATCCTATGTTATTCCTTCTTTATAGGTCAGGTCTAGAATTATCTTAGAAATAATTCTATATGCATTTACCAAGGTCTCTGCTAAAAAAGAAGGAATGAAAATAGCCCCCTGGTTGTATAAAAAGCACTCTCTCCACTCCTCTAGTACTAAAAGGAAGTGCTTGGAAGAAAATAATTTTCTTTGGCTAGTATTCTTTTCAGACTGCTCTCATGGAACTGGAAAAGGGGTAAGAATGAACTAAGTGTAGGACACAAGAACTAGATAGCTTTCCACCTGTTAATTCAAATCGTCCCAGGTATGCATGTGTCATCTGTGTATTGTGCTCAGTTAGGGATCCAACAAGAACAGCACTCAGCTAGTTTACAGTAAAATTTTTAAATTAAGACTTCCGTTTTAGACATACAGCTTTACTATGCTCTACATCCAAATGGAAACAGACATGGAAAGGTCATCCATATGGCATTAAAGCCAAGAAAATGGATGAGATCAACTTTGGAATTAAGAACTAGAGAGAAAATAAAAGCCCAAAGAGTAAGTCACAGGACCTTCAAGATTCAGAGGTTGAGAAAATCAGGTGGGATCAACAAAGACGAACAGCCAAGAGGTGCAATGAAAACCAAGAGAAATGGCAGTCAGCTGAGGCAAATACTACCAATATGTTCAGAAAATGAGAAACTGGGCATTAACCACCAGAGGTTACAATGGGACTTGGCAACAGCAACTGTGAGGAATGTTGGGAGTGGAAGTCTGACCAGAGAGAGTTCAAGAGAAAAATTGGAGCAAAAGGTTGGAGATTCTTTCAAGATATTTTACTAGAAAGGAAAGGAAAGAATGGGCAGGAAACATAAGCAGAGTCAAAAGCACTTTATTAAAATGAAAGAAATAACATGTTCATATGCTGATGAGAGCAGATTTAGAAAAAAGGAGTAAACTGAAGTTGCAATCAGAAACTAGTTTTAAAATCTACTCCAGTAAAATAGAAAATCGTGAAGACATTGACAAATTTCTAGAGACATATGGCCTACACAAATGGAATCAGGAGGACACAGAAATTTTAAACAGATCAATTTCAGACAATGAAATTGAAGACACTATCAAAAGCCTACCAACAAAGAAAAGCCCAGGACCAGATGGATTCTTAGCTAAGTTGTATAAGGCCAAAACTAGACAAAGTCACATCAAGTAAAGAAAGCTTCAGATCAATATCCCTGATGAACATAGATACAAAAATTCTTAATAAAATCCTGGCAAATCACATACAAAAACATATTAAAATGATAGTGCACCATGATCAAGTGGGTTTCATTCCAGGGATGAAAGGCTGGTTCAACATACAAAAATTAATAAATGTAATTTATTATATGAATAGACTTGAGGACAAAAATCATGACTATTCAATAGATGCAGAAAAAGTATTTGATCACATTCAGCATCCATTCATGTCCAAAACAGTAAAAAAACTAGGGATAATATGAACACACCTCAAATTTGTAAAAGCTAAATATGCTAAACCTAAGGCCAACATCATTCTAAATGGAGAAAAATTGAAAGTATTCCCTCTAAAAACTGAACAAGACAGGATGCCCTCTTTCACCCCTCCTATTCAACATCTTCCTTGAAACTCTAACCAGAGCAATTAGACAAAAGAAAGAAATTAAAGAGATATGAATATGAAAAGAAGAGCTCAACTATCCCCATTTCTATATTTATATTTAGAATAAATAATATTTATTTATTTATAAATATATATATATATAGAATAAATATATAGTCTATATTTAGAAGACCCAAAAAAGCTAGAAGTCATAAATGAATTCAGCAAAGTAGGAGGTTATAAAACTAACATCCAAATAAGTTGCATTCCTACACACCAATGACGAATCAGCTGAAAGAGAAATCAGGAAAACTATCCCATTCACAATAGCCTCAAAAACAAACAACAACAACAACAAAGTGAATTAATTTAACAAAAATTAATTTGTAGAGGTGAAAGACCTCTACAACAAAAACTATAGAACACTAAAGAAAGTAATTGAAGAAGACCTTAGAAGAAGAAAATTTTTCTCCATTTAGAATGGTGTTGGCCTTAGTTTTAGCACATATAGCTTTTACAATGTTGAGGTATGTTCATACTATCCCTAGTTTTTCTAGTGTTTTGAACATAAATGGATGCTGAATTTTATCAAATGCTTTTTCTGCATCTATTGAGATAATCATGTGATTATCCCATGTTCTTCCACAGGTAGATTAGGTAGTATAGCAGATTAATATTGTCAAAATGGCCATACTGCCAAAAATGCTATACAGATTTAATGCAATTCCAATGTCATTCTTCATAGAAATATAAAAAGCATTCATGAAATCCATTTGGAAAAATTAGAGGCCCTTGCCAGGTGCAGTGGTGCATGCCTGTAATCCCAACAGTTCCAGAGGCTGAGGCAGGAGGATCTTGAGTTCAAAGCCAGCCTCAGCAAAAATGAGGCACTAAGCAACTCAGTGAGACCCTTTCTCTAAATACAAAAATAGGGCTGGGGATGTGGCTCAGTGGCCAAATGCCCCTGAGTTCAATGACCAGTACCCCCCCCAAAAAAAAATGAGGCCCAGAATAGCCAAAGAATCCTTAGAAAGAAAAGTGATGCAGGAGGCATCACAATAGCAGACCTTAAATTATACTACAGACTTATATAACAAAAAGGGCATGGTATTGGCACACAGTAAAAATGGAGAATTGCTACAATATCCTTGAGTATAGGATTTAGGATGGGATCCTTAAAACAAGGATTAAGAGTGGGAGTGTAGCTCAGTGATATAGTCCTGGCTTAGCATGTGCAAGGTCCTGAGTTAGATCTCTAGCACCACAAAAAAAAAAAGCCCCCAAGAAATGACCTTAAATCAAAAGTGATATAAATTGACACTGTACATGTATACACGTGTTTCTAGTGACAATTATCTTTCTAGGGGCAGCCAAGATGAGAGCTAAACTTAGAGCTTAACTTAACCAAAGCTGATTTTACATTAAGTGAATACAACAGAGAGAGGGCAAAGGAGCTGAGGGCATGTGCAGTGGATTTATTGCAGTGATGGACCAGAGATCTGACCCGGATAAGGAAGAAAAGAAAACTTGAGAGGGCTGAGGGACGGGGAAAATGTGATAGGATTAAAGACATTTGATCATTGGATTATAAATCCCTTTGGAGTCTGACAGGCTTTGTGGAGTGAGCTGAGATATAAGAATGTTTCAAATTAAAACCATGGAAAATGTGCAGCAAAATCTAAGTTGTAACCAAAGGAAGGGGTAGCAAAGGTAGAATAGATAAAATCCCTAGGAGAGAGGTCACACAGCAAGTTAGAACTGTGAATAGATAAAGTAAAACCATTAAGAAGTATTTTAAAAATTGTTCTGGGAACAGGGATAGTGAGCTAAGGCTAAACTCTCAAAGGATTTCAAGAATATGTAGATGACCATAGCAGAAGGAGAGGCAGGGCTCTTGGGAGCTCTTCTGAGAATAAGAAGAGCTCCCAAGAATGAGGAAGAAGGAGGGAGACAACTCAGCTTCAGAGGTCACATCAAATATTTTGTATTTTACTTTTAGTTATTGCAACACCACTTGATAGATAATACTAATGATTGTGAAATTAAAAACATAGAAGCAAATTCCAAAATTAGATTTAAACTATCTGTAATATGAAGAATTGGCACTGAGTTCTCATTAGGGTTTCTCCAAGATCCAACATGATAAAAAAACACCTTTTTTTCAATTATTTGTCTCTGAATAGATTGCCTTTCTTTATTTTCTTCAGAGAGTTGACTATAGGTTTTATAAGTTAAGTACGATTGAGCAAGAACATTTAGTTTAACCTTCTGATTCATATTTGATCAGGAAGCACTCATTAGGTGGCATTGGGGTGCAATTTTAGAACTTCACTGACTGCACTTATGTATGCATATGAAGGCCCCACATCAAACACCATTAGGTTTGCAGTGTAATTTGGGTACTCATTGGCACACAGAAACTTCCCAAGATCAGGTAGAAACTTGAGGAAAAACTTTTATGGAAGATATTAGTTAAAGAAAATTAAGCAAGTTAATTTCAAAGAAACATCAGGTTTAGATTTATTAGCATAGTATAAACAAGTAACACATTTTTAATCAATAAGAATAATGCTGTTGTTTGAGACTGATTTTTTCCAATTTTTTAATTGTGGTAAGATATAACAAAATTTATCATCTTAAATTTGTTTAAGTGTACAGCTCAGTGTTATTAGATACATCCATAATGTTATGCAACTAAAACCACCATTCATCTCTAAAACTCTCTTCATCTTATAGAACTCAGCTCTGTACCCATTAATCACTTCCCACCTCCTCTGCCCCACCTCCCACCAACTACCATTCTAATTTCGGTCTCTGAGTTTAACTACTGCAGATATCTCGCAAAATGGAATCATTTAGTATTTGTCTTTTGGCTTATTTCACTTTACATAACAACATGAATGTTCATCTATATGTAACATATGTTGGAATTTCCCCTTTTCAAGGCTGAATAATATGTGCATACCACAGTATATGTACATGACACCTTTTGCCTATCCATTCATCAGTCAATAGACTCTTGGATAGCTATTGTGAATATAATTCTGCTATAAACATGGATGTGCAATAAGTTAGTGAGTGGTAAAGCACTTGCCTGGCACATATGAATCCCAGAAGTAAAACTCAAGGGTCATAGGTTAATTCTATGATTTATTTTTTGAGGAATTGCCATACTGTTTTCTACAGTATCTGTAACATTTTACATTCCCTCTAACAGTACTCAGGGGTTCTAGTCTCTCCACATCCTCATCAACACTTACTTGCTTCCCCTTTTTTGATAGTAGCCATCTTAGTGGATGTGAGGTAGTACCTCATTATGGATTTTACTTGCATTTCCCTAATTATTATGATATTAAGTATCTCATTTTGTGCTTGTTGGCCATGAGACAAATTACACCATTACAACTGTTATCTCAGTAGGGAGACAAGATACCTGGTGCTTCCTACTTGTATTGGACATCTTCCCCAAAACCTCTGTAATTTGGATTTTTTTCTCCTCCCTTGGATATCTCTTGCTTGCTAATATGATAGGATATAACATCTGCAAAAATTAGAATTTACTGATGATTCAACAGTAGTCTGCTTTAGATTAACCACTCAGCATTTTCAACTTATTTAAATGGCTCTTATAAGAGCTGACAACTTTGGGCTAAAATTTGTCCATCCCTAGGATATATCTAGAATTTGAAAAACATTAAGTATTCAAAAATATGCTAATAATTCTTCTTCTCTTTGTATTTGAGTAAAGTTGGAAAGTGCTTTGGATGGGTAATATCATCCGATTTCCCTTATTATTCTGCTCTTATTTTTATCTTTGAGAAATTTAAATGCCTTCCTCTATCAAATGGAACTTGGTACCCAGAAAAACTTACCACACATCTGGGGTGACACTGTCATTCTGGGATCGCCACGGGTGGGTTTCATAAATGGCTTCCCCATTGACTTTTAGCCAGGTCCCCATTTGCCTTAATCGCTCCTCAAAAATTGCAGAAATGGTGCCATCTAGTGTGGGTCCAATATTCATCAAAAGATTTCCTCCACATGCAACTGTTTGCACAAGTTGCTAGAGAATTAAGAATAAATACAGTTCTTAGGTTTACAAAAATTCATCTTTCATGTGTTAATACATCATAATTTTCTGTGTACATACAGTCACTATCCAGAAGAACAAACCTAGACATAGAGTAATGCCCTGTGTTTGCAGGTCATCAAGCTACCCCACTTGTAAGAAATTGTTCCCACACAACCTCACTATTAAGAACATGGGCTAATGCTGTAGCTCAATGGTGGAGTGCTTGCCTAGCATACTTGAGGCACTGGGTTTGATCCTCAGCACCACATAAATATAAAATAAAGATATTGTGTCTGTTTAAAACTAAAAAAAAATTCAAAAAAAAAAAGAACATGACAATAATGGCCATAATACATTTTACCGTACCTTTACCAACTCTTCAATTGTAAAATAGTCGCCAATGTCAGCATTCCTCCTATAGCCCCAGGAAAACTTGTCTATTGTCATACAGTTTTCCCACTTATGTGGCAAAAGGTGTCCTGGGTTATATCGATCACTGCAGGTATAGTAGCCACCGTGCTTACAGATGCAACCAGCTCCCCAACGATCATTGGTGACTACTGTGTCCCGAACTGGGCTGAAATGAGAAGTATAATTTTTTTCAAAGACAATGAGTCTTATATGCAAAAGGAAATGTCACTGAAAAGAGGTCTAGCCAAAATCCATTCCTGAAAAATGAACACAGAATGACAGAGTGGGACCCCAAAGTGCTGAAGTCAAATAGACCCAGGTTGATTGGAATTCTGGCTCTGTCAACCTTCTAGCTCCAAGACCTAGAGCAGGTTTTCTAACTCCTCTTAATAACCAATTGCCTCATTATCATTAGAACAAAAATAATTGATGTAAATAGCCCAGTGCCCAGCACACACAGCACTTACAAGAGCATTGTACTATTATTTGAAGCTCTGCCTCCCATACTGTGAATGGCACCCCAAACTAGATTTATACTCAAGATATTTTTCTCCAATAATCTCAAATGTATATTCTAACCTTTCTCCTCTAATTGTGCTTAGTATTTTAGAATCTCAGAAAAATAAACTGTTTAAATCATGTGAAATAACTTCACAACATTTCTTATCATGACTGGTAGTTCACACAGAAGGAACTCACTGCACTTAAAGGAGGCAAATTTTTTCCTTTTGCCACAAGGAATACATTTAACCATTAACAACCTCTTTACTTTCTACTGTTTAATTTAAATGCATTTTAATACAGCTCATAACAGGGCTTTGTGTCAATTCTTTTCAGATCAAGTCAGATACAACTTCTTGAGGATAAATTAAAGGTCATTGCCCCCTCTCCCAAGCTAATGTAAAAAGCTTGTGCTGTATCAAAAACAAATGTCCCAATCTTCAACATATCACAGACATGACAAGTTGGGTGTGTCCTAGGAGTTGATCCATTTTGCTCTGAGAACATAATCCTGATGTGAATGTAACTGAGACATGAATTTATTCAGAAAAATGTTTTTCCATTGTTTTCAAAATATTTGTTGTAAATGACAGAAATCCCTTTGCTAAAGATGAAAATCTTCCTCCTCTACAAGATATTTAGCACCCCTAAAGAGGCAGTTTTGATTCACAAACCAAAGGAGATGGTTTCAAGTCCTTTTCCTTGGAAGGAGCACCTGGAAGCACTTTCACTTTTGGTATCAAGAGTTTTCCAGAACATGTACTTATGTGCTTTGTAGACCCAGGAAGCAAAAGCAGAAGGCTTCCTGACTTTACTGCACAGTATCAAGTGCTTACAAATGTAAATGTGGTTCCCATGGTTCTAGCCTAATGGAGGAATTCAGTAAGAGCTCCCAATTCACACAGGACAGTCTTGAATGCTCAAGAAAGTAACAGGAAAGAAGGGGAAGAGGTGAGAATACTGAGGATGAGTGGAAAGAGAAGACAGACAAGGTTGATTCTGACAGACCGGCAAAGATTATCAGAAGGTAGGATGATAAAAAGAAGCAATTAGAGGAAGTGAAAATGTAATCAAAATGTAGTACAAGGTCCTTAACAGATCAAAAGAATTGATTAAAAGAGGGACCCACAAAAATAATTCTTCTAAAGTTTTTGATTTTTTGATTTTTAGTCTGACTTCAAAATCAGAAAACAAAGTTGTATTTAATTCCTGATTTGTTTACTTCTGATAATTTCAAGTGAATATGGATACAGCTAATAAGTGTTATTTATAATGATTTCCTTCCCTGATAAGGGACAGACAGACTTGAGCAGTGAAAACATGAGGTTAAGGGAATAATTCTATAAATGGGTCCTTCTTGCCAACCCCCAAATGCTTTCCCTTTAAAAAAAAAAACAAAAACAATTTACCTGCAGCCCTGTCTGGCTTAGACAGGATATCTCAGCAAATTACCTATTATCTGAAGGAGAAATGCAGGCACAAAATGTCATAAGAAGAATACAAGTCCCTGTGAAGTGGAGGCACTTTTGTGACCCTAACACAGTCTTAACCCCAGAACTCAAGGAGGTAAGGATCATTCCTTCTAAGCATAAAATCTTCAAGAACAGGTTCCAAATAAAATTAGTCAGCATTGTCCAAAGTGACCTAGAGTTGTCATGACAGTGGGGACTTGAAAGTCTAATATCATCCTGCTATCAGTCAAAAGTCAAGAAGGTGGATCTGGGGGGCACTCTGGAAACTTCCCTTGGAAACCCCAATAGAACTAGACAGCAGGAGAGGCACACTGTCGCTCTATTCTCTGAAAGGACCCATTTTTCTCCCTTAAGAGTGTTCCCCTTTCCTATTCTTTCTAAAAAAAAAAAAAAAACTTGTGCCTGTAACTCTGAGTGACATGTCTGAAATCTTTCTTTCTGACTTGATCACAAGAATGGGGATTTGGAGGAGGGGTCTCTGTGTGGCCTCAGTTTCTTGGCAGACCCCAACCCTGTAACACTTTCCATACCACAAGTGAGCCTAAAAGGAAATATTTCAAGAAGTATGTAAATTTAAATGCTATATACAAATTAGGAGTTCTTGGGAAATTACAGGCACCTAGTAGCACACATACCTTTCATTATACAGCCAGGCTAAGAAGTTTGTGCTGTTCCAGTAGTTATCTGGTGCTCCTCCATCTCCATCTGACCACAGAACCTCAGGCTGGTACTTTTTCACCAACTCATAGAGCTCAGGCAACATCTTAGAAATTGGAAATTTTTGCTTACGGAAGGAACTGGATTCATCTTCAAGGAAGAGTGGATGAAACCATTCAAAAAGGGAATAGTACAATCCAAAATGCAAGTCAGTTTTGTTCCTGATGGCCACTTCCAGTTCCTTGACAATGTCTCTCTTCGGTCCCTCATCCATGGCATTCCAGTTCCAGGAATACTCTGAACCCCACAAAGTAAAGCCTGAAAGGTGACATTAAAACCCTTTGTAAGCATTGTCAATTTCACTTCAGTAAATTTCCACTCATAAAAATGCCAAAACAACTCAGATGCAATATATAAATAACTACTTAAACAAGTGACAATTGTTTAGCATTTTTTCATAGTTTAGCATTTCTTTTTCATATTCTGTTCTTATAAGAGAAACAAATGAGAATTTAAACAAAGTGGAACCTCAATCTTTTAAAACATCACTCAGGGTATACTGTAAGGTCTGTATAGTGTGATCTCTTTTTTTCTCCTTAGGATTTTGAGATCCTTGAGGGGCAGCATCATGTCTGCAGTGCTCCCCTCTATACTCAGCCAACTGTCAGCTCAAGATCAAAGCAAAATAAACCAACAACAGCAGGTCACTTCTAAGATGGGGACATCTTCCACACCCACGAGCTACAACAATGACCACCACTGTTTTCAATGGAGTTTCTGAGATGATGCATTCGTACAATTTTCTTATGTGACTTCTTATCCAAACGTGGAGGTATAATGCTTGGTTGTAGGATTGTCTGTTTTAGCATAGTGCGATTCTAGAACACTAGGGATCCATATGTAAACAATCTCCTTGATCTTGACAATTCATTTAACCAAGAAGCAGAAAAGACACCACTTCCCAGTAGTTTCATGCTACCCACAATTTGGAACCTCACCCTACTCTAAACACAGAAGTAAATAATGTTTTTAGTTGTAAGTTGGACACAATATGTTTATTTATTTATTTTTATGTGGTGCTGAGGATCAAACTCAGCACCTCGCACATGGTAGGCAAGCAGAATACCGCTGACCACAACCCCAGCCCCAAAAGTGAATAATTTACCAATTAAATAGTTGAGAAAATAGTAGTATACCATTACCCAAGTATTTTGAAATAATAAATATTTTAATGGGAATGTGCATTTTGATTGCTAGTTGTTCTATATAAACATGTTCAAAGAGAGATATAAACTGAAATGCTTAAGAAACAACATGAAAGACTCTTAGAATCATAGGTATCATGTTATTGTTCTAGTCAAGTCTAAGATTGAGTCTCTCTTCAGATTTATTTCAAGAAGTTTTTAAAATAGTTTGCACTTATTCCAAAGACATTTGGGGTAAGCTTCAAAGGAGTGTTAACATTTGAGGTCTTAACTCAAATATTTTCAACTTGACATATCCTAACGTCAGGCAGTGCAGTGACCACTTGGATCTTTGACTCAGTATCTCCACCATATGCTCACACAGTGTTGGTTCCTCCTAACGGGAACCAGTAGCACATTGTCCATGAGCAATAAAAATTGAGAATGTATAAATTTGGGCTGTGTCATCTCTCCTCACAGCTTGATTAAGATCATTGTGTTGTTGTTGGTGGTGGTGTTTTAATACACTCACTAAGTAATACTTTGTGCCATATAGGTTGGGGAAGTTCCTGGATATCAGGAAATCAACATGATCTCAAGAAAACACACTTAATAAAAATCCATCTCAGCAGAAATATCTATAAGGAAGAATCATGAAGCTTCAGACTGTGGCCAAAGGGGAAAATACTCTAAGATAATTCCAAATTTTTGTTCCTCCCTTCCTATTTCCTTTGTACTCCTAGAAAAAACAATTTCTTATATCAAGGCAAAGATGGTCATAGAAATGAAACTACCTAATGAATTATGAGGTTGGGACAATAAACTTATTGATGTGTCCTTGGTCTTATGATACTAAGTGGTAATGGGTAGAGTGCAGTCTTAGTGTAGGACCACTGTGTTCTCTTTTAGATATTCTTCGACCAACTATGATATTTCTAGGCACCATAGCAGTTCCATAATCCTTTTCCCTCCAGGTAATCTGTGTTGATCACTAGTAGCTCATCCACCATTTGTACCATGTGGCCACCTAAGAGTTAGTCAAAACTGCAGTCAAGTTTATCAGTAATGTTGCAAGACTGCAGCATAGACTTCATGGTGTCTTCACAGAAAGTATTCAGAGGGAAGAAAGGTAAGTATGCAATTCCTCTGGGAAACTCTCTCATCCCACTTCAGTTGGCTTTAAGTAATGCTTGGAAACAACTGTGCATAGAATAAATTGTGGCCATCTTGTTCTGTGAAATATATGATCTGTCTGTATCCCTACTGTCTCTCAATTTAGGTAGAACATGGTCTTAAATGTCAATCTGGAGAACTGATCTCATAGGGATGACCTTGCTTTTGCAAAGGAATAACTTGTCAATTCCTGAGCATTGTCAGCATCTATGTGCACATTACCTTCATGATGTTTGGAAGTCAAGACAACGTATTTGGCACCAGAGGCCTGAAGAATATCTGCCCACTGACTTGCATTAAAGAATTTTGCTGTAAATAGTGGTGCAAAATCTTCATATTTAAAATCAGGAGGGTAATTATCTTTCATAAATTTCACAAACTTTGGTCTCTTTTCCTTTTGCCAATACCACCTATGGGAAGAAGAGCAGTAGCACATAAACAACACAAACATAACCATTTGAAATAATTGCCCTGGCTCCCTCTAGTATCTCCCATATCCTCAAAAATTATCCAGATCCTCTTGGCTTCCCCATCAATTTCCCCATTGACTTTGTATTAAGAAAAGCTGATGTAAACCAAACTCCCCTCTCATTTTCCCTCTATTTCCACTGTGAAATCCTCTCAGCTCTGAAATTAAAGCATTCTGGACAACCTGGCTAGGTATTTTCTTAGTTCTTCACTTTTAAATCACAATACCTAGAATGACCTTTAAGTGCTTTGTAACACAAGAAACTAGGGCTTCAAAAGAGACAAACCCTACTATATTCAATAGCAGAAAACACGTTTTGGGTGTAAGATGAAAAAGAAGCAACAGTAAATAAGAAGATGCTGTTTTTAACAAGTTAACTCAGCCTTCAAGAATGACTTGTCACATGTATTCATTCTGACCAAGAGTGAACTGAGCCTAAAGTGCTTCCACAAGGCTGCACAAGGAAACATACATCTAAAACACATGAAATCAACCTAACAGTAACTTTCCTTACAAAACAGATGCAAGCTGTATCTCGGACCCATCTTCTGCCTGTCCGTCACCTCTCTTTTTATAAGAATACTTCCACTGGATAAACAAATCCACCGTCAGCACTGCATCCCCAAAGATGACTAGGAGGCTCTTCTGGCTGTGAAGACTTTGCTGGTGAACATAATACATACTGAGTACTGCCCTGTGCCTGGTCCAAAGTCACATACATATTTTCCCAGCTTCCACGGTAGCTAGGACACAGAAGTGAGAACTATGCTGGCCAGTGGACCTTGTGGGAAAGGTGGCTTGGGGGTTTCTTGGAATGGTTTCTTTCCGAGCAAAAAAGACAAACAAGGCCTTCCTTCCTGCCTTTGGGCAAGACTGCAGGCTATGTGAGGTCTGGGATGCCTGGACACTATCATAAGACTATGAAGGACCAAGCCCTCAAACAGAGGCTGCATCTTTGATTCATCTGTGAGCCAACTACTTCTAAACTTCTTATTCTGTGAGACAATAAAGTCCTATTATTACAACTTTAACCTGGGTTTTTGATGCCTTGAAATGAAAATATCACAAGTGATCTATGGTGCATTTTTACTATTTATTTATTTATGCTGCTGGGGATTGAGCTCAGGGTCTCCAACATACTGCTAATGCTCTGCCTCTGAGCTATCCCCTCAGCCAACATTCTTATCTTTTAAATTGAACTACAAGTTTGGCACAGTAGTGTAAACCTATAATAACAGCAACTGGGGATCCTCCTAACTCAATAGGAGGATCAAAAGTTCAAGACCAGTCTAAGCAAAAGGAGACCCTGTCTCAAATTTAAAAATAAAAAGGGCCGTGGATGTAGCTGGGAGGTAAGAGTATCAATAGGAAAAAAAAAAAAAGTGAACTACAAAAGAAATTGTGATAATCAGAAAGCTGAACACAAATATAAACATGTACACACTCATTTGAAGAGCTGAATATTCAAAAAAGGTGTGTGTAACCATTTATAAAATCACATGCACATTTCATATAAATCTCAAGATAAAATCTAACAAACGTTTTTGTGCAGCACCTTTCATATGGCAGTCTATTAATGATTTAAATGTTTTTGTTTTTTGAGACAGGGTCTCACTAAGTTGCCAGGCTATCCTCCAACTCCCATCCTCCTGCCTCAGCATCTCTGGTGGATACACACCATCCATCACACATTGGTGTGCTACGTTAAAATGCTATCATGTGTCACTCCAGAAACTTTTAAAGATGGTTCTAGCTAGGCAGGGTGGCACACGCCTGAAATCCCAGCCACACTGGAAGCTAAGGCAGGAGTCCCCCGGAGTTCCAGGCCAGCAAGGGCAACTCAGTGACACCCGGTTTCAAAACAAAAACAAATGAAAGCCGTTCCACATACACTTGGACCATACTTCAAGGCAAAACGACTGAAAGTGGGCAGGTAGCCGCCTAACAGTGGGACGTGAGTCGGAGGCACTGGTCTACCCGACACAAACTGGTTTTTCGGGTCGCTCCCCTTCATACATAGTGTCATGACTCCAGCTCGACCAGGGCAAGGCTCCAGGAGGTGAGGAGGTCGATCCAGGGTCGGTGTCTGGAAACTTGCAGTCACGAGGAAGGACTGTCCAGTGCTCTTGTAGCCCCAGGCGCTGTCAGGAAGTCATCAACTCCGGGAACCGAACTCTGGAACCGGCCAAGCGAAACTGACAAGCGGGCAGCCGTAGGCCCAGGCGTGCTGGGGCGCGCCCGGGGTCCTCGGTGGAGGGACAAAAAGCAGCGTGCAAGGAGACTGGGGTGGGGGGAGCGCACTCACCAGAACCATTCGCTGCCGAAGCTGGGCACGGAAAACACGCCCCAGTGGATGAAGATGCCGAACTTGGCCTGGTCGAACCAGGCGGGCAGTGGGCGGGCGTCCAGCGACTCCCAGGTCGGGTCGTAGGGTGCGGCGCAGCTGGCCGGGCCGGGTGGGGGTGGCAGAAGCAGCAGCAGCAATAGCGGGAGCGCGAGGCGCGTGCGCGCCAGCTCCCAGGACAACATGTCCCCGGGGCGGCGACGGTCCCGTCTGCACGCTCCCGCGACCGCTGGAGCTTTGTACTTCCGCGTCTCCTGCCAAGTATGCTCTGCTACTGTCACCTGACCAAACCGGCCTCGGTCAGATGACGGACCATCCTCTCTCCCTGTGGGTTGGGTGTGCCCGCTTTGGGGCCCTTAAACTGAACCCAGGAGGGTTACCTGGTTCACTTGCAAAACTAAGAAGGCCAATTATTATCCCATAGCCAGCCCCAGAGTGCCTAGCTAAGACTCCCAGTCCATCTGCTTTGAGGAGAGAAATGTTAAGTGTGACCAGAGCTCTGCCCTCCATCTGATACTGATAGGGACAGACATGAGTGGTGAGAACATGAGGTTAAGGGAATAAATCTATAAACTGGGCCCTCTGTGCTGATCCAAATGCTTTCCTTTCTACCTCTAGCCCTAACTGGCTTACATCAGTAGGGTATGTTACATTCCTCAGCAAACTGCCTATTATCTGAAGGAGAAATGCAAATGTAAAAAGTCATAAGAAGAGGGCAAGTTAATCTGAAGGGGGACACTTTTGTGACCCTTACACAGACCTGACCCCAGAACTCAGGGAGATAAGGCCTAAGCATAAAATCTGTGAGAACAGATTCCAAATAGAAACAGTCAGCATTAGTCAGAGTGACCTGGAGTTGCCACAGCAGTGGGGACTTGAAAGTCTGACATCATCCTGCTGTCAATCAAAAGCCAAGATGAGGACCTGAGCAGAACTCTCTGGAAACTTCCCTGGGATGTCCAATGAAACTGGAGGGGAGCAGGGGCACACTCTCTCCTCTCCAAGAGGACCCACTCTCTCTCTCAAGAGTGTTCCCCTCTCCTCTTTCCCATTCCTTCTAATAAACTGGTTGGTGCCTGTAACTCTGAGCTACACTGTCTCAACTCTTTCTGACTTAATTCCAAGAATCAGGGTTTAAAAGGGGGACTTCAGGCTGTTTCAGTTTCTCAGAAGACCCGCAACCCTGTAACAATATGACCCTTACAGAAATCATTAGAAAGGTCATCGTGATCCCATCCACTATGGAGGCTGCCTAATGTGTCTCAACCATGTTCTTAGAGGCAGGAGTTTCTCCAGGCAGGAACTCAGAAAGTAATCCAGATTGTTCTTAACCACTACATTTGCCCCAGAGTTTCTGGATATGTTAGAACTGTCGCTGCCAACCTTCAATTTGTATCATGTGAAGTCCCAAGAGTTTCAGGTTCAGTTAATCTGGACTGGGGCCCAAGAATTTACATTTCTACAGAGGCCCTAGGTGAGTTTCATGCTGTTAGTGGGTGGACCAAACTTTTCCGAGAACTACTCATTAGAAAACAAGGTGATCTGAGACAGGTGACACTTTTGAAATGAATGTTTCAGAAATCTCCAAGCTGGCTTGGGGAAAGGAGCCAGAAACTTGGAAAAATTAATCAAGAGCCCGCTTCACAAGTTTACCTCTCCTGCCTTATAAATATCTTCAGAGTAAAGCCAGAAGAGTCCTCACCCCTCTCTTCTGAAAAATCCTCTCCCTTTGTTGGGTCAATTTAAATGCCACCTCTTGTGTGATGCTCTCTGCCTCCTGCTTCCCTTCCTAAACATTTTATGCCCTCCTGTGTATCTCCATAACACCATATTGCAACCACTAAGACAGGATTTCAGGCTCTGTCTTGTAAGTGGGTACATATAGACCCCATTTCTCCTTAGTCTGTGCATTTCTTGAGGGTGATAATAGTGAATTTCATTTCTCTTGTCCCTGCATGTACAGCAGAGCCTGACATGGAGAAGCTGTGTCAAAACACTCAAAATGTGTTTGCTGAACTTCTTGGCAGAATCGGGGTTCTAATTAGTGAGTGAACAAGGAAGGAAGTGGCATGTTGCCTGCACTCTCCCATCTCTGCAGAGAGATGGGAACAGCTGAAGTCACTGACATCACAGGAATAGTGGCATTCTTCCTCTGCAGGAAGGAAGTGGCTCCCCAGGACTGCAGCTCTACCATGAGAGTCCCCAGTTTTGTCATAGCGAGGGTCTTTTGGAAGAGAGGGCACAAGAGATCTGCTAAACATGAACTACCAATTGCAACAGTCCTAGTTTGATACAAAAAGAAAGTGATAATTTTTATTACCTGGTCTTTGAAGCCCTAGAACCATCTGAGACTTCAGTAGCAGCTGAACCCAAGGCACACTGGAACAATAAGGTGGACTTCTCACCACTGTTGCCTTAACATCATCCCTCATCAGAGGTTTGTGTATTAAGTGCAAGTGACATTTTTTCCTAGTGACAAAGATATTGTGAAGAGTCAATGGGACTGTAGATATGGTCCTGGTGACAATGCAGCAGTGGGGCCTGGTCTTCTCATCAGCCCTAGGTGAACCCCATGTAGCAAAAACTTCCATCTTCAAAACTATGCTTTTATTATGTAATAAGTTATTCACATTCCCATGCATTTCATTTTAAGAGTGCCGATTAGCTCTGATCAACATAAATAACATTTGGGTCATTTATCATTTCTTGTGAAGGCAAAGAAACTATTTTAGTTAGCTTTTCTGTCCCTACAATGGGCAGAGAAGCCCTTTCCCTCAGGCTCCCCTTTACTTTTCTAACATCCATAAAGATAGTGTTCACACTTACATGAGGCTTACAGGGAGTTGGGGACAGGAGGCTCAGGTGCTCTCCAGGTTCTGGAAAGGAATATGATGTCCCTGCCTCCTCTGGCCCTGGGTGCTGACCTTGGTCCTCTTGCCATTGCCACAAGAGGCTTGAAATTCCTGTGATTCATGATCTGGTCTGCAGGGAGGCTTCCAGGGGTATGCTGGGGTCTTTTAAGGCATGGTTGTGAACTGCACATCCATGGCAAAGAGGGCCTGCTACAAAGAATCACTCTGGTCAAATTTTCTGTTAACTTCTCATCTACTTCTGGATCCTATCTGTGACACTGAAATATCAAGTTCATTCCTAGAAATGTAAAATTCAGCTTTCTGTGCCTAACAGGGCTATACCTGTTAAATGTGCTCATCAGCCTATGATGGGATAGAAAAGCCCCTTCCCTCAGTCTCCCCCTTACTTCTGTAACACCCACAAAGATAGTGTTCACACTTACAGGAGGCTTACTATGTACAATGCATAATTTAATTCTCACCTCAGTCTGAGGAAGATGATGTCCCATTATCATTCACATTTAACAGGTGAGGACACCGAGACTCAGAGAGGTTGAGTGCCTTACCCAGTGTTCCACAGCCCTGTAGCTGAGAGAGGAGTTGTCTGGAAACCCCCGTGGTCTCAAACTGTTTTCTGGGGTGCTCCTTATTATTTGTAATCCCTTGTCCTCCTCTCTTTACTCCTTTTCTATGTATTCCCTGACTCCAGGCCAAAAAAAGAAAGGGTTTCTTTCATTTGTGCTATGTCATGGGCTCTTGCTACCATGAAACTGGGCTAGTTACCATATAAAGGCTGGATGGCGTTCGATTTGTTCTGAACACTCTCCTTCAGCTGTGTGTTGATGTCAGCTGCGGGGTGAATGTCTCACTTCTTCCACTGTCCACTTCAGAGGAGTTCTGGGAAGTGCTGAGACTTGTTGGTGGCCATCATCCAACTCCCATATAGAGATCCAGAATGTCATCAAGAGCTCTCTCAGATATCAGCTCCACCCTCGCCCGTCGGTGACATCCCTGAGGATACAACTGGCAGGACTTCTTCCTCTGACAGCAACACAGAATCTGGTGGGGGCTGGTCTCCCAGGCTTTCCTGCCCAGTGCCCTGTGTACCAGCAGCTGCCAGCCGTGGTGGCTCCATGAGCACACCTGCTGCTACAGGACAACGACCTCACGTTTCCTGCAATTGGCTCCTTCAGACAAGCAGGATCAGACCAGAGCTTCTTGACAATGTTCCCATGGAGGCCCAGGGCTCCCAAAAGCCTTATTAATAAACCATGTCCCCCCAAAGAACTTGATATGTCAGACTTCCGGATCTTCTATCAAAACCTTCAAATATAGAGTTTAAGCCTTAGTTTGGAGCGGTTCTAATACTCAACTAGCAAAGGGTTTTTGTTTGTTTGTTTGGTCCTGGGGACAGGGCATTTAACCACAGAGCCACATCCCCAGGCCTTCTTTCATTTTTTTATTTTGAGACAGGGTCTCAATAAGTTGCTTAGGGCCTCTCTAAGTTGCTGGGGCTGACTTTGAAATGGGGATCTTCCTGCTTTAGTCTCCTAAACTGCTGGGATTATAGACATGCACCACAGTTTTCCCAGCTGCAAAAACTAGTTTTACTAAGTATTATCTTATAAAATATTATGTGAGTAAGAAATCTACTGCATGTGAGTATCTCTATAATACTGTATCCTAAAATAGCTCATAAGTTTTCTTCTTATAGTTATTTAACAATTTTTTTTCCAGTAGAATCTCTCTTCTTCTTCCTTTCCAGATAACACAATTTGCCATTCTTTCCAAATCTTATGTCAATTGTTAACCTGGTATTTTAAGATCATTTATGTCCTAAGGTACACTAAAGGAGGTCTTATTTTTACCATAAGTAAGGAAGACGCAGGACGTGGGGAGGCATCTTCAAAACAGAGTACTTGTACGCAGAGACCAGCCTAAATATTTGCTAATGCACCTTGTTTTGGTGTCTACATTTACTCCAGATGGAACAATGAAATTTGCCCATGAGTTAGATAGTAGTTAGAAATGAGCAGTGAAGTGTGAACCAATAACAGCAGGGTCATGGGGTTTCTTTGAAATTGCCTTTCGTGAACAAATCAAATAATTTGTAGAACAACAGGTTCACTAACCCTGAGAATAAACAGATGGAAATAAAGGGAGCTAATTAAGAACTACGTCAAGAAAGAAAGATCAATGGGACCAACTCCAGGCAAGGCCTACTGATGTTATTGTACAGTTAGGATTAATGGCCATAGATTTCTCCATGTATTCCAGAAGGGAAATTCCCTTAGTAGTGCGGGTGCACTAAGATGAAGTCTATAGGGCATTGACCGCAGCACCTACATTAATATAGGACCAACTTATAGATGCAGCCCCGCTGAATGGGATGGTCACCATGACAGTTCCA